CCAACCAGCCAGCCATACATCCATCCATTAGTTCTTCCGTTTCGGCCATGTTTTTCATACACTTAAACTATATCCATTTATTTTGATGCGACGGCTTCTGCGACTACTTCCATCAGAGCCAGAAGACGTCAACGTATTCGTCACTCGCTTTATCTTTCGTTGGCTAGCACTTGGAAAAACACTTGAAAGAAACGAATTTATTTAAAAAAAATCTTTGAAATTAACTAAGGGATACTATCTATTTGGGGTACCTTTCTATTTTATTTCTAAAATAGTTTCCATTCTGTTTTATAATGACCCATACAATTCGCATTGGTTTCTTTGTTTATATTTTACACAAATATTTATTGCAGTGCAACTATAGCGCTCTTCTGCGGAGTAAATCCTGTTATAGCCATAGTCTGAGTCTGAGTCTCAGTTTTGCTCTTTTTGTGTTTATGTCTCTTTGATGTTGTTTATCAACTTGAGCACAGATTTACCAAAGCAGAAACTTTTTTAACTGTTCTCAAGGGTGAATTACAAAATGAGCACGAGTCGCCAAAAATATTTAATGGGAATTAAAATAAATTTCTCTTATTTAAATAATAAATTTTAGCCTGTATATAATTAATCCCACTCTTAATTAATAAGCTGTGCAGCAATTAAAATCCCAGAATACCAATGAAGGAAAAATCCATATGATTAAAATATTATGTACCAATAGAAACAATTACCGTCAATTAGTGAGCTCGTTGCATTCAGTGAATTGTATTTCAATAATCGTGTCCTCTTACTTATTAAATATTCGCATTAAACACCTTTTTCTTACTGATCAAATGAAATGTTGAATCTCCATTGTTTAATGGGGGGTTTTCCAACGTTTACCTATATGTATTTCAGATACTGAACGGAGTGAACGATTAGAGGCATGCGAGCAATCTTCGAACTTCAACTCCGAGCAGGAATTCCGAGCCCAAAGGCACAAAGGAAACCTGCAAACGAGCCAGGCATTTGAACATTTGAGCATTTGACCAGGCCGACCCCTCGCATGCTTGAAGCTCAAAGGCGGCCAAGTGCCTGATTCTAGCTGTGGATCGCAAAAGGAAACCCAAAACTCAAGGCTCACTTCCAGGACGAAATCCAATTGACAGACAAACATGCAAGCAGAGCATCGATAAATGGGAAACCCACAAAAAAAAAAAACGCTTGGACTTGGACCAAGACTCTGGGCAACTTCTGCTGACTTTTCCATGCCACACTTGGCAAAAAGAGTGGCTAATGCCCTTTTACCCTTTAAAGAAAATCGAAAGAATTCCATGATCAAGAAATTTAATTCTTGTTCTTAAATTGTGGGATCTAATATTAATTGATATAATAAATGCATTTTCATCAGAAATAAATTTAAAATTACTAATCATATTTAAGTTGGCAAGTGTATTGCCCAAAAGTAATGCAGTTCAGAGGTAATAAATGCATCTCGAATATGAAAAATCAAACCTCAAATCAAGGGAAGATTTCGCACATCCCTTAATCCACTAAATTTCCTGAACAAAAATTTATTGCTTTTCACAAGGCGATTTGCCGAAATTAGTCAAAGTAACCGAGAGGCAATCAGAGAGCTTCCAATAGTTTTTCCCCCCATTTTTCGGCCGGCCAGGGAATTTTCAAATGAAAATCAAGCTCGGCTAGATGGCTTTGACCTAACCTCACATTCAAGTAATTGACATTCTGTTGCGCTATTTGAAGCCAGGACAACGGATGAGGGACGAAGGACTCAGAACCAAGGAGCAGGCGGTTCAATTGCAGCTCCTTTTGCTTGTCTTCCCGGGGATTTATTGCAACCTCAGTTGTTTGCCATCTTGGTGCCTGCCCCAGCTCTTTCTCAACTTCAACCAGGTTCTCGTCTATATGCGTTTTTTTTATGGGCGTACATCTAAGCCGTCATTTCGGAAAACGACGCCCATTGCAATAGCGCCGAGATTTGATCAGTTGTTTGCTTTCGCCTTATATATCTTTCACTGTTTTAAAATTGCACTCATGTGACTTTGGCACAGTCACTCGACGCTCGTCTCCATTCGCCCATACAATGGGCACACAACGAGCTGGAAACTGTCAAAAGGAAGGTCTTCCATGCATCATTTAATGCCCTTTAAGGGGGGCAAGGTCCACTTTGCATTCGAAAACCCGAATGAGGTAATTTTTTAAATATTTTCGTAACATCTTTTTTTGGATGCAATTTTTACTGACATATTTCAGAATTTAAGACTAATCTTGTAAAAAAAATGTAGCTTTATATGTAAGTAGATATTCGGTTTTTAAGTAATGTTAATGGGACATAAGTAGCCAATTCATTTTTGTCTTCTGATGTACTTGATCTGCTTAACAGAGGGCATAGTTTTTATCTTAAATGGTGTCAAAGTGCATTTTTAATAGAATAAAGTAAGTAGCTAACAAACATTATTATCAAAGCAAATTTTTAAACCTATTTCTGCACTATGCCCATAGTGACTGCACTTCTTTAGCAAACATTTTTTTTCTCGCAAATTGTATCTGTATCTGCACTTTTATGTGTTTTATACTTCGTTTTTTTAGTTGGTCCTTGGTGGCTGCTCTATTCTAAAGCGACAACAGAATAAATTTTGGTTGGACAATTTTGTTTCGTTTTTTTTGTAGGTCTGGTAAATCCCAATGCAGGCGACTCAAGCTACCGAAATATACGAAGCACATTCATATTCATTCTGGTTCTTAGGTTGGAAGCAGATCCTTTGGGCATTAAACACACTCGTCCAACACACAAAAGTGAGTTTATTCTTTAATATACATTTTAACACATTTGCGAAACTTTTCTCTTGATATATGTAGTTGTTTGTGCTGGCCATTAATTATAGATTTTATTTTTGGAGAACTTTTAAAATGCTTAGGCACTTATTTGCCTTGCTCCTATTGCACAAAGAATAGTTTTTAATTTATTTAAAATATTTTCGTTTTTCCGTGTGTGTGACTGTGTTTGACTAAATCCTGGCCTGCAAATCCTACTCTAATTGGCAGACTTCCGGCAGCCTGTCAAACATCCTTGCAGATAAAACCAAAGTCCAAAAGAAAAAAATAATCAGAGAGTGAGTTGAGTTTTTCGTTCCAACGATTTTGCCTTGGTGCGTTATGTAAATAATGTTGGATTACGCAAATATTTACATTATTTCTCTTGCCATAGGTTAGTTTTAACAGCGCTCAGATATTTATTCAATCAATGCGATTGTTGCTTTCCATTTGAATTAAAATCCATGCTTCTTACTTGATTTAAGCATAATTCAATTATTTCCGTTTAATTTTCAGCAAATACTTGAACGCATTCCATTTGCATATTTGACTGAGTAAAGTGAGCAGGGAGATTTAAAGGAAAAGTTGAAAATCAGCCAAATCAAAAATCCAAAAGTTCTACGTCGTTTGTTTTAATCTTTTCGAGTCTGTGAACTTTGGGCTGAAAATGACTTTGCTGTAGGGTGTGTGCAAAAGAATTTTCTCTTATTTATAGTCCCTAAAAATTTTCCTAGCCTAGCATTCATAAAAATCCAATCAAATTCAACTATATACAGTGCATTCCTGTAGATTTCAAAATATCGCACCCAAAGTTATTTGGAAATATTCACATTCTATTTAAATTTCAGCAAGCGCAAACAAAATTTGGTTTTCATTTTTTAACTTTTCTATTTAAATTATCGCAAAAATGTGAGCTAGCGAACAAACAGATTGGGGGAAATGGGGAAAACCGAATTTGACGTTGAAAAAATTCCTTTGACTTGTTACATTTTTCAACAATTTGCCTCGTACTTTGCCGGGTTCTTTTATTGCTTTCGGTTTGTTTTGGTCTATTTTTAAATCTGTTTGGCAAAGCGATTTTTTTCATGTTGGCAAATTTGCGCTTATGACTTTGTACTTTATTTTACAAGAGTGAGATCCTTATGCATATAATTTAAATAGGGGTCATAGACTTTTTGCCTAATTATAATTTTATACCCTAATTTTGGAACCATTTGTCATCAATTTTCCTTGAAAAATGTAATATGGCTATTAAATTAAAAAAGGAGTTCTGAAAGTTAGTGTTCTTAATATTATTTTCATATCTAATTAGGGGTATATTTAACCTAATATTCATTTTCTTTGATCCTGTATTATATTATATTCTATTATATCAGAAAACATAATATTATATTTCCAATACTTTGGTTCAATAACTTGGTGCTTCTTTTATTTCAGATGTGGATTTTTTTAACATGAAATATTTTTCTGTTCGCATTTGTGGATACATTTTCTAGACCGAATACGTTTATAAATATTTTATTTCGTTCTAGGTTTTTATAGTCATTATTTATTTTTTAAATATTTATTATGCCACTTGTTCTAGGTGGCAGCTGTACTCCTGGTCCATTGTGAATCGTTTGAGCGCCAAAAGAGCAACAACAATCCACTTTCCTGCGCTGACTATGATTGTTTGGTTTTCTTTTTGTTGTTCAATTAAATATATTCCAGTGCAACATCCCATTCTCCCCCGAACCCCCATCTCTCTCTTGGTTGCTTCTCTCGGCTTGTTGTTATTAAAAAAGTTTTTTGAGTTTTTATTTGAATTTCCATGAGAGCAGTGCCGGGTAAAAGTGGGAAAATAAAAAAAAAACACAGTCAAAATGTATTTATACTCCTCACGGAAACTAGTGCAGCAAAAAGAAGTACAGCCCGACAAAGCGATAATAACTGACCGATTGGGTAAATTTTGTAATTATTGCCAATACTCAGAAACGTCGAAAAAAGGCATGAAAAAATTAATAACGAAACTTTTGCAATCACCTAGGGAGGAGGTTTTATATGAGGTAATCCATTCGCCAAAGCAAAACCCAAACAAAAAAAATCTAAAGAATCGAGCTTGGCAAATACAATTTTGTGTGTTTCGTTTAATTGCTTAATTTAATTTGCATGAAATCCAGCAAGGCAAACAAAGCAAAGCTCCGGTGGAAAACCGAAAAACCTACCAAAGTTCTTTTGTTGAGGCGGCAACGTCGTCGGCGGCAAACAAATAAAAAAACACTCGAAAAAATCCGTTTCGCAAGTTGTCGTTTTAGTTGTAGTTGTTTTGATTTTTTTTTTTTTTTTATTTGGATTTTTTTTTAACACTCCACTGGCTACTTTTGCATGTCTCAAGAACACTGCCCAAGTGGTTTGAACAATTGATGGGGGGATTTGTTGAGCGCTCCCCTATTGATTTCGGTATGATATTCTGTTGGAATTTTTATGCACTTGCATACAAAATAATGCGCCCACAGCACAGCACTCGTAAATGGATTTTTTTTATTAGAACGCACTTGTTTATGACTTGGGTGATTTTTTTTTTCTAAATTTTTACGACAGACTATTCGTTGGATTTTCCACGCTCTTAGCACCAGAACTTTTCCAGCTCAGCTTGGTTTGAACTCCGTTAGACGACTGAATCGCCCAGCGGCGAGGCATCGCAATTTTATACGTCCGTTCTCGAGTCGAAAAAGCTCGGCTTTCCGCTTCGGGTTTTTGGTCGATTTAGTTTGGGGTCCAGGGGGGCTATATGGCTTCTGCGCAGGCGCTACTTTGCTCATGGAAAAAATATAAACACAAAGCAGCTGGCTGAGCTCAGCTGATTTTTGGCCAAAAGCCGGCAACAACAAGCCTCACATGTGGCTCTGTTGGGGGGTTTTGTTGGGGGGAAAGAGCAGGTTAAAGCTTCGGCAATGCCGAGTGCGCAAAGACAACAATTCCATGTTGTTCTTGCCCACGGAAAACCAAATAAAGCAAGGTAAGCGCATAAAACCCAAACAGCAGCAAGACCAATAATATCTATTCGGCTTTAACAGGTGGCAATGTCATGAGTTCGCTGCATAGAAAATAATTTTGATACATAGATTAAAGATGGACTTATAAAATTTTAATAAAATATTTTTATATCTGGTGTTTATTTAAATTGATTTTTCTTCTTGGAAATGCAAATGTTCTTATATTTATTTCATTTTAAATTCTTTTGACAAAAAATAAAAAATTTTACTTTATTTTTCTGTGTGTTTATTGAGCTTTGTGAATATTCATTTTAATGCACACAACAATTGTAAATTTTCTGGCGTCATTAGTATTTAATTGATTATTTTGGTACAAGTTAAGTGTCGTTTTTGCAACAATTGTTTACCTTTTATCGGTTCATCTGTTGATTGCTAATTCCCAAAAAGTTCGTCGCAGAAACTCCGTCGCAAAAATGAAATCAAATCAAATCGAATCGCTACACAAAATAAACAACAACAGAAACTGGCCAAACTCGCTTTAATTAGAATCAATATAATATTATGTAGACAGTATAAAACGAAATTTGGTACTTAGACATGTCAAGTTCTAAATATTAATGTGTGTCGAGTTCCTTGAACTCCCATTTAAATTTATTTATCATCTCGTGGATAATATCAGAGATTTAAGGTGAGATTTAATCTATTTATGAATATTCCATTTGGCCTATACGCTTTCAATGTTTTATATGGTAGCTTTCATTTACCGATTTTGGGATTTATTTCTTTGATATAAAAATATTGTTATAATCATAAGAAGTAACTGGATGGTATTATGTTAAGGAATTTTAAGAACTCCTAGTGCGGTCGCATTGTAAAAGCTGTAAAACTTACAGTTACTTGTTCCTAGCAATAATTTTTGCACGTTTTTTTGTCGTCTTTGTGCTCGTAAAATTTTAAAATTTACATAATGGAACGCTATAATCGCGTCTATAGAGGTAATAGTTTAAAATTATATAAATTAATTTGTTTAAGGTGTAGTAAAATTGGCTTTAATTTAAAGATCCCGGTTCGCCGCTGGCGCCATTAACTCCGCTCAACGCCGAAGCTTTTTCATTTGACGATGTAATGCCTGCCGGAGGAGCCTGTAAAAAGAATTCCGGAAGATCTGGACCTAGTGGAAACCCAAGGGCCTTTCTTTCGATTCCAACACGTCGACCAACGCGTTTTTCAAAGGAATTCATGCGCACGAGATCTGTGTTCTCGCCAAATAGTCAGAGTACCCTCCATGGAGAATCCAGTCTCGAAATAACTCCCAAATTAAAGTCACAATCCAGATCAAGTTCGGAAAATCGAATGCAGCAGGAAACCCGGTTAAGACAGGAGGTAACCAGGTTGAGAAGTGCGACTTTAAAGATGAAAAGTGAAAGATCCAAGGCCAAAAGTGAAGCATCGCGAAAAAGCGAAACCCCCAAAAGCCCCATGCCCAGTATTATCCATCCACGCTATAAGGCCGTCTCCCCGGTGGAGCACCCAACATTGAGTCCCCGAGTTAAGTCCCTGCTGAGTCGTACTGGAAACGAACACCTCACGGAGATGTTCACCCGCGAGGAGATCGACCTCGAGGTGCTCATCCAAATGACCCTGGAGGATTTGGCGGCGCTGGGCGTTCGCGGCGCCCGAGAGATTCGATTGGCCATGAATATCATCCAACTGGCCAAGCAAATCTTTTAATTTATATAACAAGTCTCTTGAAAATGTTTGCTAATTTTTATGTCATGTGAAATTGTAATTTGTATGTGAGGTTTTAATAAATGTTCGATGTAAAAATACAAGGGAGGTTTTAAATTGGCGCATTGCAAATTAATTTTTTTCATAAGTCAAAAATACATTGGGAAATATCTTGACTTTTTTTTAGGTGTAGAGAAAAGCAAATTACAATGGCAAGAACCAGGGTGTGAACCTTTACTAAAAATATACAACTTTAAAATCATGGGATTTTTCCAGTATATTTTTATTATCAAGTAACTTCTTTTAAATCCCCATCCGCGGTCACTCTGAACACGTGTTTGTGCCGAAGAACTGAGTTTAAACAAAATATCCACGTTTTTTAACAGAAAAACAATGGTTAAAGTGAAAGTAGAACGTTCCGAGGATGCTGATGCGTCCGTGCAGATCAGCGGCGATGTCACCATCAAGGAAGAGGAGTCTTACGACGACAAGTTGGTCTTTGTGAACGCCATTGCAAAGCCAATGGCAGGTAAAAAACTGGCTAAGAAGTGCTACAAACTGGTCAAGAAGGCCATGAAGCACAAAACTTATCTGCGCAACGGATTGAAGGATGTGCAGACCCGCCTGCGCAAGGGAGAAACTGGGTGAGTAGTTGATAAACACTAAATGATATTCAGACACTAAGCCTTTCATATAATCCACAGCATTTGCATCTTCGCTGGCGATGTGACACCTGTGGACATCATGTGCCATTTACCCGCCGTCTGCGAGGAGAAGGGCATCCCCTATGCGTACACCCCGAGTCGGGCGGATTTGGGAGCTGCCATGGGCGTTAAGCGCGGTACAGTAGCGCTCTTGATCCGCCAGAACGACGACTACAAGGACCTGTACGATGAGGTCAAGGAGGAGCTCTCTGGGCTGAATATCCCCGTCTAGACCTGTAGCCTTAGTATCTTCTGTTAATTAAGTACCTAGTTAAGTTAAAAGGAGTCCTAATAAATGCCAGAAAATGCCTATTTTTTGGCACCACCAAAAACCCAATTCATGCACTTTTTATACCATCCTATTAAAAAAGAAATAAATGTACTATATTAAAGCCCAAACCAGATTGATTTTAGAAGTTAATGCCAGAAAGGTTAAATCATATACTCCTCATGAAAAAAGAACCTTTTGCTGCCGGCAAAAGAAACCAAAATTGCAAGATTTTTTTTTGCTGTCCCTTTGGGATCTTTTTTGTTTTCTCTTTTTTTTTTGTGTTTTTTTATAAGTATTTTCAGCGTAGCTGTTTTCATATAAATTGTTTTAAATATACAATACAGTTGAAATGGAGGAATTTCGTTAGGCTTCTGGTTTCTGTGTTCTTGTGTTGCTCGATGATGAGGTGTCTGCTATTATTGTTTTTTAGTTAGTTGCTGTATGTATGTGTGGTGTCTAAATTTACATATAATTTAACACTAAATGTGTTCGTGTTGGTATGCAATGTATTTCCTAGAAGATCGTTTAACAAATGACATGAATGGTGGAGGAGGGGATTATTAAAAGTACAATTTCTTGTTTATTAAATGTAATTTTCGTTCTTTTTTGTTTCCGCTTTTTAGTTTGTTATGCGTTACATTGGTTAAATAATTACAGTTATATAAAGTTAATATGTGTATGCTATCCAAGTCGCTAGCCAAAATACTACGATAAAACTCAAAGATCGGTTAAATACTCTTATCGAAAAATTCTTATATTTTTGCTTGCATTTCTCTTTCGTGTTTTACATTTACCAGTCGTCAGATCGGACTAAACAATGAGTTGGGGATAATGGGGATTATGTTTAGGGGTATTAGGGACGAGATGGCTGAAAATTTTGGGCGGGGCGGTCAACAATCGTAATATAATTTACACACGCATCGACAATTTCGGATGGGCAAAGGAACAAATAACTCGTGCACAAATTTAAATATTTATATGCATATTATATATATGTTCGTATGTAGGTAAGTATGTTTAATTCGTACACAAAAATGTTCATATCCCTTATAGCCAGTAAATATATATAATAGGTATATAATCTGAAGTTACATTAATAAGGATAATAATTTATGTATTTGAGTGCGTGACAAATTTTCAGTTTTAATGGTTTGTTGTTAATAGATTTTCTTTTCTTTTTTTTTTTGTTTTGTTTGCTTTAAATAGTCAACTCCTGTACAAAATTGAAATTTATAACTGAGAAATTAAAGATAGGTAGTAAACGAACTGAAAGGCTTACGTAGCACATACGCTACGCACTAAAAATAGAAAAAAATTTACAATACAAACTTTCTTGAATTATCTTACATCTAAAGCTAACTATGCATTTTGCAGTTTATAGTTATTACATAATCATTTCATTTTTTTTGTGGTTTTTATGTTTGTTTGTTTGTTTTTTTTTTTTGTAAAGTTTTTTTTTATGATTTTTTTTCTGTTTTGTATGTTTCAAGAGTCTAATCGATAAGGTTTTCTTGTGTAGGCGATTTATAATTCATTTCATTTTTCTGGGCTGCTCAGAGCAACCCGTCGGATGCTGCGAACCAATGGAGGCGCCTTTGGGGCTTTGGGGGGCGTGGCAGGAGGAGGGTCGCAGGGGGGCGGCGTTGGAGGCCAAGAAGGGGCGTGGACGTCAACAAGTCCCTGCTGCGGCATTTGGGCGAGCTTTAGTAACCACTAAACATTAACTAAATAGGTATGTATGTATATTATTAATTAATTATAATAATTCACACGTTGAACTTAAGGCTACCGTAATTAAATAATTTGCAATTAAAATGAAAGCAAAAAATAAGGATAGGGGCAACTATAATTAAGAAGCAGTTCTTTTTCGTTTTCTCTTCCGTTTTTTCCCATTGTCTGGGGCATTTTTTACGTTTTTTTGTTTTTGTTCAGCTAAGAATTTTGCAATTTTTTTTTTGTTGTTAATTTTCTTTTTTTTTTCTTTTGTTTCGTTTTTTTTTTTGTTTGCTTTTCGTTTTCGTTTTTGTTTTTTGTTTTTAGATTAAGACCCTTTGATGCCACAGCAGGAGATGTGCTGCCGTCACCGCTTCTCACTGAAAGTAGTTGTAGAATCCGGTCGTGGCTTGTCCCAACTCCCGGATAGCCGCAAACGGATCCTTCTCGAGGAGATCGTTGCCGCCGCCTCCCCGCCTGCGCGCCCTTGCCTCCGCCCGCCCCCGATCCGGCCACGCCCGCCGGCGCCTGCGATTGGCCCGGCGAAGGTCCAGATGACCCACCACCACTGCCAACCACCGCCTGAGGTCCCTGGCTCAACACAGCCGCATAGGTGGTTGCCGACGAGCCGGAGGACAGCTGGGGATGATTGGCCGCCTCCGAGTGCGGAACACTGGGCGCCATCGACTGGAACAGGTCCACATCGTGGCCGCCGCCCTTCAGCGTATTGAAATTGTTGTACAGCAGACCGTGCATGTGATCCGACGACTTGACCGAGTGATCCACCACCGAGTTGTTGGCGTGGAACAGTGCCTCAATCAGGTTCGCACCCGTATCCAGTCCATGCATGTTGTTGTAGCCACTGTTTCCACCGCCGCCGATCCCATTTCCGGCCAACGCCTGTCGGCGGTACAGCGGCACCGAGTTGTTGCCATTGCTCAGCATTCCGTTGTGGTTGTTGTTGCTGTTGTTGTGGCCGCCGACTCCTCCTGCGCCGCCGCCGCCGATTCCCATCCCGCCAACTCCGCCGCTGTTGACGCCCACGTTGTTGTGCACGTTCAGATTGTTGAAGGGCTTGTCGTTGAGCAGGGCGTTTCCAGCTGGGAGATTGAAAAGTAAAATCATTAGAATAATACCGAAAAAGTATGGGTGGAACGACCTTATCAAAGTAATTATTATAAAAAGATATTTCAATGGATTTGTCTTAAAAACAATTGTTAAAAAACAATTGTTTACTTTGATCCAGAACGATTTTTGTTGCTAATTATATTTTTGGTTATGCATTATCTAAACTTGTTATGTTGTTATTTCTTTGTTATTTGCCATTTTTATTTTATTTTTTTCTATACCCAAGAAATTCGTTAAAAGGGTTTTTTTTGGGTTTGCTTTTTTTTTGTCGATTATTTCAGTTATAAAACTCTAGACTAAGTTTTATTAGTTAACAACAAATTTAACATTTCCTTCACAATATTTAATTCTAAACGGCATCGTAAAAAGGTTATAACAAAGCACAACAAACAAGCAACGATCGTATCAAACCTTACTTCTCTTACCATTGCCCATAAAGTTGGGATTGCCGACGCCGCCCAAATTGTTGCCACCACCGTTGGGCGGCGCCTGATGCAGGCCAGGACCACCCAGATGGTTGGGATAGAGGGGCCCAGGACCAGGACCTGGACCCGGAGGCTTCGCCTGTTGCTGCTGCTGCTGTTGTTGCTGCTGCTGCTGTTGCTGCATCATGGCAAAGAGGCGACTCTGCTGTTGCTGCTGTTGTTGCTGCTGCTGCTGCTGCTGCTGAAGGTCGGCGCCGTTCAAGCCATTGCTGAGCGGCGGAGGACCACCTGGATTACCCGCACCAGCCACCATGCCCAGAACATCTCGCAGAATGGGTTGGGCAATATCATTGGCTCCGTTCATGATGGAGTTGAAGACGAGATCGATTTGCTGGTTGAAGTTCTCCAGTGGCGGTGAAGCGTCCACCGATTGCTGCGGCGGCTGCTGTGGCTGTTGTCCCTGTGGATACATCATGGGATACTGCGGCCGCTGCACATGCGGATTGTTCAGCATCGGATTGTTCACCATCTGCTGCTGCGGCGGCTTGTGCTGCTGCTGCTGTTGCTGCAGTGTGTTCATCACCTGGCGCAACATGTCCGCAAACTTGTTGGCCCCATCCTGGCCCACGGTTTCGAGCAGCTTGAGGTACCACTTGTACTGCTCCTCCTTGGGGTTGAACGCCATCTCATAGATGCTCACATTCGGCGGCAGCAGCTCATGGGTCAGCGGACCGAATCGCATGGAGCTCGGCGACGGCTGCTTCCCGGCGTACATAAACGGATTCGGTGGCGGCTGCTGTTGCTGCTGCTGCGGCGGTGGCGGTGCTCCCGGATTGTAGCCACTCCCGTTGTGCCGCAGATACGGAGGCGGTGGCGGTCCGTTCTCCATGGGCGACATGGGTCCATTGGGCACACTGCTGCCCCGCTGCATCCCCATCGGCGGTGCCTGCTGCTGCTGTTGCGATGGCGGCGGCGGTGGTCCGGGACCGGGTCCATAGAGCTGGTGGTGCGGCGGTGCCTGGCCGTGGTTGTACAGGGTCTTCTTCGCCAGGTAGCCCAGTTCGCTGGGATTCCTCAGCAGCTGGGCAGCCGCTGAGGCGTTTGGCGGCGGTGGCGGAACACTGCCACCGCGCAACGGAAGCGATGGGTTCGCATTGAGCGGCGGCGGCGGTTGCAGGGGTCCTCCTGGTCCTCCACGACCCGGAGCACTCACCGGCGGTTGCGGTGGCTGCTGCTGCGGCGGCGGCTGCTTGCTGGGTGGGAGCACGCTCCACGGATTCGTTTGCGGCGGCGGACCCCACAGACTGGCGTTCGGATTCTGCGGCGGCTGCTGTTGTCCCGGTCCGGGTCCTTGATTCTGTCCCTGCTGCGGTGGCCGCCAGTGCTGCATGGCCGGGTATTGTCCGTACGGTGGCGGTGGACCACCTACTCCTCCTCCCCCGCCGACGCCACCGCCTCCAACTCCGCCGCCCGGCTGCTGACTGGGTGGCGGTCCTCCGGGTGGCATTCCCCGCAAATGCGGCGCTTGTGGCGGTGGTCCGCGCATTCCCATATGGCCTCCACCCCCGCCTCCTCCGCCGCCGCCGCCGTAGTGTGGCGGTGGTCCTGGACCCGGACCTGGACCTCCTCCGCCGGTTCCCGGTCCAGGACCATTGCCAGACTTCCCGCCGACGGCAGCTGCAGCGGCCATCATGGCCGCCATGTGGGTGGAGTACATGTGGGTGAGCTGCTGATTGGCCATGGCAGCGGCCATTTGGTTCATCTGGTGGGCGGTGGCCGCCGGTCCAGGACCCAGCATCCCGGCGGCGTTGGCGAAGTGAGCCGGCGGACCCGGTGGCCCGTGGCCGCCATGTCCGTGCTGCGGTCCATTCAGGTAGAGGGCAGCCTGCTCCCGCAGATACGCCTCCGGTTGCAGGGATCGAGGAACGAACTCCGGCGCCAGGGGATTCAGCACATAGCCGCGTTTCAGCTCCACGCCGTCCAGTTGCGAACGCAGATTCGACCACGTCAGCCCGAACAGAGACTTGTGCTCGTCGCAGATCTCGATGAAGCGCTCCCACACTTTCCGACAGCGACCGATGGAGCAGAGAGCCACTGGATCGCCCACCACTGCCACCAGAGATTGGGCACGAGTTATGGCGGTGTTCAGAAGTTTGGAGTTGCTCAGGAACCCATAATCCGTGTCGGCATCGCCAATGCTGGCCGACGAGGCTGCTCCGGGTCCACTTCCTTGCGGCATGCAGGTGCGTCGAGTTCGAACCGTCGAGAGGAACACCGCTCGGAACTGTTTGCCCTGCACGTTGAGCACTCGCTCCACGGAGATGCCGCCCATGCGGCGCTTCCTCAGCTCCGAGCGAATGCGGAACACCTGATCCGCGTAGGGAGTCATGATCCCGATGCTGGTGTCGTTCAATTTACCCCAAGCACTGGGCCAGCGCTTTCGCAGCTCGGAAACCCGCTCCACCACCTCATAAACCTCGGCATTGTTGTAGAAAGCAGTTGAGTTCTTATCCTGGACGTCTTCTCCTCGGGTCGTAAAGAAGGTCAGCGGGTAGAAGCGCTCGTGCCTCGGCTGCTTTCCGGAGGCCACCAGCTTTTGTTCGTAGAACAGCTCCGAGGTGAAACGGATGATGGCCTCGTGTGCGCGATAGTTTTCGCATAGCAGGATCTTGCAGGGGAAATTCGAGGGATAGTGATCGTAGAGTCGCTCCAGCAGCGAGATGTGCAGCTTGCGCTCCTTGGCAAAGGCGGAGAACAGTTCCGGGCTCATCTGCATGTGATCTCCGGCCAGAACGATCCGCGTGGAGTCATTGGCCAGGGCCAGCGGCATAATGGCCTCGCATTCCATGGCCTGGGCCGCCTCGTCCAGGAAGATGTGCGTGAACAGACCCTTGGGCAGGCCCAGAGTGGCCAACTCCATGCTGATGCTCAACGTGACCACGACGATCCTGTGCCGCATGATGTCCTCCACGCTGGGCCGCCGGAAGTTGCCCACGGCATCGATGATGCAGTACTTCTGCACCACACTGTTCACGGTGGCCGACCATCGCTTGTGGTAGTAGACCCTCAGCGGCGTGGCCTCCTCCAGGCCCTCCTCGATCCAAGGGTGCAGGTACTCCTTGATGTACAGATCGGCTGCCGAATTCGAGTGCGTGCAGATCAGGATCTTGGCCTCCGGCTGCGACAGCAGCTGCTTGATGGCCTGGGCGAGCGTGTAGGTCTTTCCCGTTCCAAAGGGTCCGATCAGCAGGATCGGTGGCAACTTGATGCTCAGCGCCGTGGTGATGGCATTCACGGCCTCCCGCTGCTTGGCATTCAACTTGGGTTCGCAGCTATCGGCCCACTGCTTCTTCGGGGTCCATGGTATACTGGGCTCCAGTTCGGTGGCCGGGAAGATGAGCCGGAAATCGGTGATCTTGTCCACCGCGTTGTGCCACTCGCAGTAGGGCATTCGATTCAGCTGGAACTGGATGTCCACCTCCAGCTCGGTGTCCTCCTGCAGACCCATTGCCTCCACACATTTGGCCGATAGTTTCAAGTAGATCACATTCTTGCCTTTGTCCTCGATGAGAGCCTCGTAAACCGGGCGATTATTCTGATCCGCCTTCGCGTCCGGATCCTCCGGCTTTGAGATATACACGCTGCTGCAGTTCGAGAGGATCAAGCGACCCGGCGAAGTGTCCTCCGAGATGTCCTTGCCCAAGCGCATGAGAGCGAACAGTTCGCCCGCCAGCGAATACTTGGCCGTGCTGGTCGCCATTCCCGCTGGCGTGAGGATATAATTGGAGGCCACCGTGAGTCGGGTCCGGACATTATATCTGGCTATCTGCTCGTAGCGGGCAATCTCCTCCACGGACAGCAGTTCGTGGATGCGGGAGCGGTAGTTGTTCTGCGTCAGTCGCTTCTCCACAATCGTCGATTGGGTCAACGTGAAGGTGGCCGCCCTGGGACACGGATATCGCTCCAACAGCTCCCGCTCGTGCTCCAGATCGCTGAGATACGCCTCCGTCTTCAGATGGGTGCCGATCGTGGTCTCGAAACGGGTCAGCTGCGTATTGGCCACGTCCCATCGCGTTGCGGAACTGTTGATGATATCCCGCTTGATCTCCTCGATCTTCTCCGCATCGTTCACGGGCAGCACATCCACACAAAGATGCCGAACGAGCAGCGGCTCCTGGCCCACATCGAAGCAGATGGCCTGCCGGAAGGTTCCATAAATCTCCGTGTGAAACTCAACGGTGATTTCGTGGGTTATGTTGGCGTTCTCCTCGCTGGAAGCTTCCGTTTGAGTTGATCCAATGGCAACCCACTCCTGATCCGATTTTAGCTCCATGCTGGACTCCGTGGGCTTGCACAACTTGATGGACTTCAGGGCAAAGTGATTCCGATGGGCGTCCTGCAGGAGGGCCACTGCTTTCAGTGGCTTTTTCGTCTCCAGCTGGAAGAGCCACTCCCGCTTGGAGGTCTTCGAACTGATGCTGGTGACCAGCTGCTGCTCGCACCGGGCCTCCATGTCCGCCACCCGTTCGCACATCACACGCTCCGGCGCCGTCGCCTGGATCCATCGCTCCAGCACCTGCTCCGTGTACGACTTGCCGTAGAGCTCCTTTTCGCAGGCCTTCTGCATCCGCATGCGACGGTACTCGAAGCGCTCCTTCCACTCGTTCAACTCGTCCTGCCCGTGGGCCTCCACGCACTGGGCGCCGTAGTGGCAGGTGTGCGCATCGCTGAACGTCTCGCACAGGGAATAGGTGTCCAGGGTGTAGCCACGAGGCGGTGGCCGCCACTTCCAGTCACGGCCTAATCGAAAAAAGAACAAGTTGTTTATTTGAAGTGACTGAAAGTTCATGTTTTAAGTGATTTTTTGAAATGTAGTACACAGAAATTCTAACTAAGATCTAGAATCATTTAAGTTTATAGTTTTAAAAAGCTTTTCTTCAAGTTTTTGTTTGTTGGAAATGATTTATTTATACTTCTGATAGTATAAATATAAAAAGATCGTAATTTCTGGTTTACTGTTTACAAAACCTATTGTTAAACTGAGGCTATATGATTAATTATATTATATGAACAGCAGTTAAATCTTTTCAAATTTTAAATCTCATAAAACTGCAAAAAGCGAAACCTTCAAAGTTGCAATAAGAATTTCTAAATATAGAACATCATAATTCTGTCTGTAACCAGAAAGTTCCGATTTGCACATGTTTTTCTTTAAAAAAAAGTATTTCTTTATCTTTCAAAATGACTTATCTCACTTTATACTTCATTATAAAAAATATTACAAATAAGAATAATATTAATTTGTCACAAACCCAACTCCAATTAATTAACCAGTAATAAAGTTATCTCAAACTTATTTAAAATGAAGTTTGATGAAATTGAAAATTGTTGTAAATTTTTCCCTAAAGATATCTTTAGTTTTAAATTTCAGAAATGTTCCCGCTTTTTAGTTTCAATACTCACCCTCGTCGCTCATTATGACCTTCTGGTGGGCCTCGGTCTGGCAGTGCTGACGCAGCTCGTTCCTCGTCTGGAAGGTGATGGTGCAGTAGCTGCAGGTGGTCGACGGCGCCGCCTGATCGCCCTGATCCGAGCCCGAACCGTCACCGGATCCCGTCTGGTGTTTGCCGGCCGTTAGCTTGATGGCCGCCAGCAGGTCGGTGGTCTTGTGGAGACTCGTGCTCGAGCTGGACATGGTGCTGCTGCTCCCAGTGGAGGAGCTACTGCTGCTGCTCGCATAGCTGCCGATTCCGTTGCCGTTCTGGTGCTGCTGTTGTTGCTGCTGCTGCTGCTGCTCCCGCTTCTTCAGCCCCTTGTTGCTGAGCAGCTTGCTGTACTTGTCCAGCGGCAGGTTGTTGGTGGCCCAGTGATCCAGCTTGGTGTCCAGTATGGCCATCTCGTCCTCGAGACGGGCGTGCGGTATCTTCTGGGCCTGCGCCTTGTGCTGACCGTTCATGATCATCTGGATGATGGACTTGTAGCGCTCGAGGGTCTTGGATATGTCCGAGTAAATCTGCTGGCCGCTCAGCTCGTTGATCCACTTGCTCAGGAAGATCTCAGCATCCTAAACGAAAGTAAATGTTAGTAATAAGCTTTAGAATAGTTATTATTTTTTACTACAAATTAGCATCCACTTTTAGAAATATTATTTGAACTACAATTTTAAAAGACACGTGGATATTATTTCTGCTTAAACCTTAAACGGCATGCAAATTTAATTTGTTTAAATAAACTTAAAATTTAAATAAATTTAAACAAATTTTGCCATAATATTTTGTTTAACCTGTATTTTTATGTTTATACAGCCGTAATGCAATAAAACTTTTTCGAGTAACGAGAGGAATTCCCGTATCTTACTTACCCCGTACTTGTGCATCTTGAACAGAGCGTGGACGAGCCATCGGCGAGCTCGGGAAACGCTGGCCAGGCACTCGGTTTGTTCGGAAAGCAGAGTGAGCACCTTGTAGGCATCCGCCAGGCAGCCCTCGAACTTTCCCAACTCCAAAAGGCACTCGCAGCGGCCGAGAAGGCAGGCGATCTGCTGGTCCTTCTGCGCCCTCGATCCCCCGCCCTGGACACCGGATCCCTGTCCGGGATTGGAGGCAATCAGTTGGTCGTAGAGCGCCACGGCTCGGGCCCAACTCCGCCGACGGACCATGTCGTGGGCCTGCATCTCCTTCTCGGCGGCCATTGTTTAACGTCTGGTTTTTTTGGGCTTCTCCGGGTGGTCACTCATGCATGTGTGGCTCCTTCAGGTCCTTGTCTTGATCGCTCGTTTAGTTCCTAGGGTGATTCTGTCCGGGAAGAGTAAAGCTATCAATAATGTTTACATTTTTCGAATTCATACTTACATAATCTAACAATTTTGGGTGGTTAAATATAAAGAAATCGATTATCGTTTTTACATTAATGGTTTAGATACTTTGCGGGCATTATGTTTACTGTAATAAAAGAGGTTTAAGTTAAATTATATATTTACTTTCACTGTGGTTTCGTCGAGATTTAAAAAGTAGCGTTATGTATTTAAGTTTATTAATTTGTTTATTTTTTTAAATTTCACTGTTTTTGATTGTTGTTGAAAGTAAAAAGTTATTGCCATTGACATTTAATTTGTTGTTAACATTTTGCTCTTTTTTTTACGATTTCACAACCATTGTAATTTCACGATATCCTTTAATTAGTTTTCCATATACACTTCACTTTTTCAAAGTCCAATTATTTTATTTTTTTGGGCGAATATTTTAATTTAAAAATATATTATAATTCCTTGAAAATCCGTTTCTACTAAAGGAAAAATTTTTTAAAAGACTTTTTTGATTTGTTTGTAAATATGAATTTTTTTGAAATTCTTATAAAATGTATTTTTATAGTTTAATTAAAGGCAACACTTTTATTAGCCTGCTGCTAATTAAAATCTTTAATGTAGTCGTGTTTATAACTAGTTTGTTTGGTTGTTCAACTTCACTTCGGGGGACTAACGTGACCTTAACTAATAAATAGGAGATAAAACTCCAATTGATTAAACGCAATTCCAATTGTCTGCCAAATCCGAGTTGTTTGGACCGAAACAGAAATTGTTTATATCTGGCCAATAGCTTCTGTTCGGGTCTTATCGGATCCCAAACAATTGTGTGTACTTATAGTATATACAGACGGATTTATAGAGCCGCCTATAATCGGGCGTGTATGATAAACAATCCAAAGTGCTCCTTCTGCTGTCTTTATTTTTCGATTTACACAATTTTCATTCTAATTCGGTTACGCAAAATTTCATAAGAGCAATTTTCACTCTCGCACCGGCACAAAAGGGGGCGGAAAAATCAGAGGGGGGATTGTTGCGGGGAAGTGGGAGAACATTTGCAGAGAACGAGAAAATTTGCAAGCATAATTAAAAGTAATTTTTGAGTTGTTGCTTTTTCTTATTATCTTTTTTTTATTTCGAGGTGCTTGCTCTCTTTTTCTGCTATTTTTTTTTGTTGCGTGTATATGTGTGCGTTTTGTTGTTGTGCGGTTTTTATTTATATGCGGCGATAAATGGGTATTATTTACAAAAAATGGCGAACAAAGGTTGTTAGCAATTGCAAAACAATTTAATTTAAACGAACTATTATTTAATGTTGAGTTTTCTTTGCTTTTTTATATACATGAGCAGATTTTCTTGGACTGGCGTTCCTTTCCAACTGGTTGCAGGCGCAATAAGAGCATGTTCCCTCATTTTTTTTTTTTTTTTTTCCATAGTTTATACAACGGGACAACAATTGAACGTATTTTAATGTTATTTAGCACGATTCGCGAGAATTAAGGAGGATTTATTTTACCATTTTTCTTTTTACGTGCTGAAAACAGCAGACAATCGACAGTGTTGGTTAACGACGGAAGCACTCGCTGACGAGTATCGCATGTGGCAATTAATAGTGGCATAAATTTGCATTATATGTGTTTAACCGAAATTTTGATTATAATTTGTTAAAGAAATGAAGTGTTATGAATTGCTTATCATATTTTATTGTAATTAGTCCAGTAAACGGCTTAAAACAATTTACGAGTATCGGCTGCCGGCGCTTTTCAACACAGTTCACACTGCACGATGATTTTGCCATATAAAAACGGCAACTTATATACGCACAATACATGCAAATGGCTCCGTTGCACTTTTATCTGATTAGTCAGTTATTTATACGGCTCCGCTAATCGTTTTGCATGCTCAGCAAGCGACCGCAATGCACTTTTCCAGTGCGAATAATGCACGTCTGTCAGCCAGCTGCAACTTTGCTTGCCAATTTTGAAGCCAATTTCGGGTTTTATCTGACTTCCACATTCTTCAATTACCTTTGCACTTATTCATATTGTTTATACACTACAGGCTAATTATATTTTACATGGTTAAGCACAAAACTATGAGAGAAAATGCACATCACATCACGTCGAAAAATGTTAAAAATAAGTTATGTATGTATGTGAGGGAAAATTCGCGAAAAGCGATAGTGCTGGATAGCGTCGTATAAAAGTGCTGCCCATTAGTAGGCAAATACTAAAAAAAGTCCGATAACATTGGGTCTGAAAAAAATCAAATTTAAAATGTGGAAACATTTTAGGTTTTGAGTAGAAACTGAAACCAATTGGAAGTCAAAAGAGAGTTTAAGACAGTAATAAGTGATGCCACAGAAATTACTGAGACATATGACTTAAAATTTTAAATTATCCTAAACTTCGTTTGTTAATTTTGGCTGGGCAGTACTTCTTATTCATATTTAAAGATTTGTATTTCTGCCAACCGATTAACAACCAAAACTGCAAACCAACTTTATTATAATTTTTACCGACCTTTTCATATACATTGTTGAAAATAATCTTTTCTCCAGTAAATGCAACTACGGATTAAATAAATCTGGATTGAATTAAAAAGCCATAAGATTAAGTTTGAATACACTGTAAAGTTGTTTATTCGAAACATTTCAATTGATTTTATTACGATGCAAGCAGGCTGTCTCAATGATCTCTTTTGTGGGGCGGTACGTAGACCTGCTGACGATCTCCGCGGTAACGTGAGTGCTGCTGATGTTGCTGTGGTTGGTGTTGCTGTGGTTGATGTTGCTGCTGTTGGTATTGCTGCTGTTGGAGTTGCTGCTGCTGCTGCTGGGGGGCGTTGCTCAGCGGTCTGTTCTGGGCATCTGTAATGGGCAGGATGTCCACCTTGAGCACCTCCTCATGGTTTCCATAGCCCATAAAGTAGACCACGCAAGTTTTCTCCGATACTCCGGTGATTTCAGCCTCATAATACTAAAATTTTAAAATAATGCAATTAACAACTTGAATTTAATTAACTGCTTACTTATATTATCACCCACTGTTTTTAAATTATTTTAAAGTCGGATAAGTTAGTGCATTAAGTGTATTACTTCAAGTGACCTAAACTCACCCTTCCATCGTCCCAGTACTTGGCCATGCACAAGTCTCCCTTCTGCCACATCCAAGCATCGCCCGGCGTCATTCCGAACTGCTCCCTTGGCGCTGCCTGTGGCGCAGCCACTGAAGCGGGTTGAGCATGCGGATTTCCATGAGTGGCGGCGGAAACGGGAGCGAAGGACTTCGGTGGCAATTCCTGCTGCTGCTGCTGCTGCAGCTGTTGGTTGGGCATCGTGACGCCTTGACTCTTTAGAAGACTCATGGCAAAATCGTTGGCCTCCTTGCTCTGGAAACCCATTATCTTGCTGGGATCGTAGGTATAGCCATTCGCCAATTGACTGTAGTTTGCGTGCGAATTATGACGGGAATTGTGATGATGCTGTTGATGGTGCTGATTCTGATTCTGATTTTGATTCTGATTCTGATGTTTCTGAGCCTTTTCCGGCTTCTGCGAAGGCAACTGTGCTGTCTGCTGCTGCTGAGTTTCGGTTACTGTTCCCGTTCCTGTTGCCGTCTGGCGATTAGCATGTCCTTGACCTTGACCCTTGCGTCGATTCTCTCGCTTGGGAGCACTGCTCACCTTCAGATTGGCCGTTTCCTCGGTTACCTTGCTCAAACGGGCATTGAAATCGTCGCCTGCATTGCTTGTTGCTTTGGCAGTGGCACTTGCTGAATTTGATCCAGCGTTGACTGCCTGCTGTTTGCGCCTGCTGCCATTGGCGTTGCCGTTCTCGCCTTTGTTTGAGCCCCCGCGATTGCTGCCTCGATCGCTGCCGCGTCGATTGCCAGTGTGCTCCTTTCCATTGGTGGTTTCTTGCTCGTTTTTCACCTCCGAATTCGTCTTGGCCGGTGGATTGTCCGCGCCATTGCGACTGGAGGCTTTTACGGCCGAGGATTCCGGTTTGTTTCGTCCACCTCCACGCTCGTTGAAGCCTCCTCCTCGCTCCCTGGGTGGCCTTTCCTCCCTCGGTGGTCTTTCCTCCCTTGGAGGTCTCTCCTCTCTCGGTGGCCTTTCCTCCCTCGGTGGCCTTTCCTCTCTGTGGGCTCTCTCCTCCCTCGGCGGCCTCTCGTCCCGGCCACCGCCTCGATTACGTCCACCACCTCTTGAGGAACCCGAATGTCCACCGCGATGCGCGGCAAAGCTGCTTGACACATTGTTCTCGAACCTGGAACGATCCGCAAACTTTCCTCCGCCGCCCGAAGCGGCAGATCTGCTGTCGGCCTCGCTGAACCTCGCGTTCCCGAATTGTTTGAAGGGATTAAAATGGTTGGCAGTGGGTGGGGCAGTGGGAGCGGCGACATATGTCTCTGCGGTGCTGGCAGCCGGTGTCTCAGTGGCGGGCAGCTTGGTGGTGAGGAAATCAAAGAGAGTAGCATTGGCAGCTGGCTTGGCCGCCTCAGCTTCGTCCTTGGCACTGGCCCCTCGTTTTCCCTCTCTTGGCGGGCGATCTCCACGACCCGGACGTCCCATTGGTTCGATGGGACCCACGCCTCCGGCTTCCTTGCGTCTCTTAAGGTTAAACAGAGCACGCTCCAGGTTGTTGCGGGTGGCGTGCAAGGCACTGTGGGCCTCCTCCTCGCTAAATCCCTTGTCCAGGATCTTCTTGATGTTGTGATCAACGATGTTTTGGCCACCACCGCCAAATACCTTCTTGCCGCCCGCTTTCGTGGCCTCGGCAATGGCCTCGGTGCGCATGGCGTTGAACTCTTCGTTCTCCTTCGCCGGCTTATCCTTGTCGCCCTTGTCGACCAAGCTCTTAAAGTTCTTGTCACTCTCGGCGTTGGTATCGATTTTCCGACTGCCAAATGGCAACCAAGGTGGCGGCGCTGAGGTGCCGCTCAAGGGCCTTCCACTGCGGGCATATCGCAACATGGTCCTGGCCAGATCCCACTTCTCGTAGAGGGCGTCTACACGGCCACCAAGCAGCTGAATTTCACTGGATTTCAGCAGTATGAATCCCTGCATCAGCTGGAGTTTATCCGCCTTAAAATAGATCTTCGTACCGGGAGCCACATTGAGATTCAGCTGGGGCACGGGTTCGAGTTCGAGGGCTTTTATGGAATTCTGGCCATCGCTCAGATCGAGCTGCAGTAGGCGTGGCGCTGCCTTCGATTCCTCATTCGCCTTGGGAGCGGCTATGTTTCGCACTCTCTGCACCTGCAAAACCATTTTTCCCGGCAAAGTGGCGTCTTCGCGTTTCACGGGCAGTGCTCCACCCCCAATGTCACGCATATCCCTCTGAAACCATGAGTAATAGGCTATTATAAATAATTGATCATCGTTGAAAGCAGCCGGTTCGCCTACAACTTACGTTTAGAGCTGCATCCACAATTTTGCGGGGATCCTCGCTGCTAACGGCTGTCGTTAGGATTTTAAGGCCCTCCTCCGTCAGGTGCCTGCATCAATCATTAGTCCCCACAACTCCCTAGTATTTTATGTTTTACTTACCATCCGACTTCTTGTAGTTTCTTCGCTAATTCCATTTTTTCATGAATACGTCTTTTTTGCAACCTGATTTCTGCTAAACTAGTGATGGCAAAAGTATTAGATGTGTACTCGTTAGTGATGGGTGCATGGCAGCAATTGGAAACATCGTGAAAAACTAAACGATAGTTTTTTATTCCTTATGCATAAATTTATATTGGGAAACCCTTACAATTTTAAGATAAATTAATATTGAAGCTACCATAAATGGTTTCCTTTTTTCGGTGGGCTAAAGTTGCAATTTAAGGGCTTTTGCTAAAAATGCTAAAACTTTTCACACATTTTCAGAACTCTTCGCCTGTAATACTTTCATTCCGGTAAAGTGTTTCGCGTGAAGAACATGCCAATGTTCTAAAAGCGGTTGATCTCGCTGCAATGTTAATTGATGTTTTTAAATATAAATAATTGGAAGTCACGTTTTCCGACATGTTTTATTAAACTTGTATTAATGCTTAGGCCCCAAGGTAGCTCTTAAAAATACATTACCATTTTTACCTTCGGTAGCTGGGTTAGAGCAGATTTAAAAAATTGTTGAAATTAAAATATTTTCCCAAACACAAAACATAAATTAAAGTCCTTATTGTCGAAATAAAATCCATTTATTAAGTGGTCTGATAAAATAAGCAATTCCAAAACTAATCGGCATGGGAATACCCCATATGCAACGGTAAGTCTTACAGATGCGCAAAGCTTAGGCATTTGTACAACACTGTATGCGGTCACACTGCGCGGAAAAATATAAATAAAAGAGGCGGCCGTCGGCAGAGCGAACTAATAACGGTTTGCGAGCAACAACGTTTCGATTTCGAGTGCGGAGTAAATTTTCCAAGTTAAATAGTGTTTAAAAGCCAAAAACGAGACCTGTTCGAGTCGCACCCATATATTGCAATATTTTAAAGGAGCTGCAACGATTCCCAGAAATAAATCTGTGGAAAGTGCTAGAAAAAATTAGAGAAAAACAAAAAACAGTGACGCGAGCAACAAACAGTCATCGAACGATTTATAGAATCCAAAGCATGAATCTGTCATTCGCTGGCTGCGGATTCCTGGGCATTTACCACGTCGGAGTGGCTGTCTGCTTCAAGAAGTATGCCCCGCATCTGTTGCTGGAGAAGATCGGAGGAGCATCGGCCGGTTCCTTGGCCGCCTGCTGTCTCCTCTGCGATTTGCCATTAGGTGAGTCTATTCCCCCGATTGCATGGGCGGGTTTTCTGGGACCATTTCCACCTAAAATTAACAATTGTAAAATTGTTGACATAAATATCACTAAGCAAAATATGCCGTTTAAAATGTCGTTATAGAGTTTTTAAAAACAAAAAGAATAACTTTTTCTTAAAAAAGTGTAATTTTGTTTACTATTTTGTGTGTCTGAATTTGATCATTGTTTTTTAATAGCAGACCCCTCAACTATTCGCAACCTCTCTGGAATATTTTGCTTTTTCTTTCCCCCATTATTGCGAATTACGTACACACGTACATAGGCAAAACAGCTGACTGCAAAAACAACCACTGGTCAGTTCAGTGACTCTGTTAGTGGGAGGGAGAAAGAGTGGAAGAAAGAGAGAAAGAGGGATGCTGCGAGGCTCAATATAAAATGCATTGCATTGAATTGATAAGCTTGTTTGCGTTTGTAGGTCGCTAGGAAGTCAATGGGGGTCTTTCATAATTGTGTGCGATAGTGTGTTTTTGGGCGTGTTTGTCCATATTCAAAGGGGGCTCGTCTGTCGAAAGAAAACTACGGCGCAGTTGAAAAACCTCACGAAAACAGAAAAACAAGTTTCTTGGGCCGGGACAACGCACTTTTGTAAAGCGGCACCCGAATATATAAGCAAATGGCCGGGCTATACAAACACACCAGTGGGCAAAATAATAGCGTACTTCACCAAAATAAAATCATGTTACAAAAAAAGTTTAAAAATTTTAAAGTCTTTGCGATTGGAGATCCGCCATTTCTAACTCTGATGGAATTTGTTCTGTTTATCTTATCTGAATGCAATTCATAGAATAATAATAATCTCTAAGACCCTATTATTTCGCCCCCAAACGTTTACATATAAACCTATTTTGATCGAGATGCTTGAAGGTCGTGTGTTTATTCATATATTTTGTTATGCTTAGGAGGCCCGTTCGTCGAAAGCCGCTCTAGGAATTCGAGGCAAAACTTGTGCTATTGTAAAATCGAATCTATATATAACTGAGAAATATATGTAGGCCTATAGCACAAGTTTTTGTTTTGTTTTTTACAATCTCTGTGTAACGCTTCGTTTGTATCGTGGGTATAAACATGTCAATCAATGGGGAACACAAAACTAGCGAGGGAGAAAAACAAATGTCAGCTGGATTACTCATGGCTACTGTGCAACGAGGTACAGATCATATGGCTTATCGTTTGACCAGGGTAATCGAGTGTTTTAATCTGGAATAACGTCAGCAGAAGCAGCAGCGTTCGATCGTTAAAATAATCAACCGATTTTTGTTTGCTTTTGTGCCAATGGGATGATCATCACCCTCGGGGCATGAAATGCTCGATTTCCCTTGACTTTGCCTCCATTCAAGATGCCACACAGGAAATACAGCATTCTAAATATTGGGGTTTTGACCTCGAAATGGAGGAACTGTAAATTTAAAAAAAAATGCTGAGTTATTATTTTGTTTTGAAATTATTAAAATCTGTAGAATATGGATGTATGTATTTACCTTTATGTATTTATGTTCATTTATTTCTTCAGTAAATAATTTTCAGTGTGCACCTTCAATTACTCTCTGGATTATTCCTTTTTGCATCTTCTGTTTTCCCGCTTTTCTCGTACGATCTTCTACCTACCTGATCTTTATCCTCAGCTGCTAGAAAGTTCGTTAGCCTGGCCAGCTGGTGCAGGTAACTCGAATTTTCCTGTGTTCAGTTGCCACTTTAATTGCTGCAATTAAATTTGGTCGGTTGCATTGTGATCTAGGTCTATTTGATTACCCAGCCCAGAGCGTGTCTAATTTGGACTTTGAAAGTCGTTATTCAGGGGGATTCGGGTTCTAAGTACAGGTTTATGTAAGTACAGAAGTGTTGCACAGACAAAAGGCGTTTTGTTCCGCTGGCAGTTTATATTTGTGAAAGTTTTAACTTGTTTTTGGTCTTGCCAACCGTATCGCACAAAAAGTCATTACAGGTATAGGATTAAATTTAGAAAAATTGGAAAGAAAAGCCTATTTTGTCTCATTTTTACCTGGGGTTTTTTAAGTACTCTTGTGTTAAGAACCGCAGTTTATACTCCAAGCTTTATTGCAAAGTGTCATTTGTATGTTAATTCTATTACTATTGCACTCCATCTTTTGTACTCGAAGTGTCTGCTTTAATTTAAGGGCTATTCAGGCAGAGTGTTGAAAAACCCACCTCATTTAAAAGTCACTTTATAAGACTACATATTCATTCATGACCGATCCTTTATGGCCCTATTTATCAGCTGTTCACCGCACTTCCTCTTTGTTGTTGGCACTCGAACCACTTGAACACGAGTTGGAAATGGCCACGCGAACTTGTCACATTATCGTATCGTATGACGGCAAACTATATTGCCCATATATCTCCCATTTCCTCCATTTCACCGCAAAGAGTTTACCCCTCTTTGATTATCGCGGTTTTTTTCGCTTTTTATCACGTTGCAATTACGAATCTTGCCTTAGTTACTGGGCACTTATAAACAGATCGTTATCAGCTAGTGGAAATTGCCGTGTTTTGATGGTTCATCCTCCCTTTTTCCGGTTCAGAGATCGAATAAGCTAAATTTCTAAATGCAAACATGTAAATACATACGACTGTATAGTCTGCGTTTATTTTTAGTGGGAAAGCCAACGGCCGACCTTCAGTTGAGTTCCTCAGCCAGTTCGGCTATCTGGAAATTTTAGAATTCTTAACTGCAATTCATTGTTCGCAAGCGAGCACGAACTTCTACATATATATTCATTGCTTATCGGTTTGATTTACCTTTATGGGCACTTTGTTATCATGGGGGAGTCATGTTTTGTTGCCGATTTCCGTCGCTTAAAGTCCAAATTGCGGGTGTATCAAATATTAGCTTACGTAGTATATGGACTTCTGAGTGGTGAGTGGTGATGGTTCGATTTCGTTGCAGCTGGTAATACGAATATATGAGTCAAGTGCAGTTTCGCGATTTAAGTCGCACATCTAGCTCTTTGTTTGATTCAGATTGATCGCTATCTACATATGTATATAACCGTACTGCCTATATGGTGCAGTCGATTGACGTATTTTTCATTGGGCTTAGTTTCCTATTCCCCAAGTTGATTAGAGCACAAAGCAAATACTATCTGCATATTTACATGGGGCTTGCAGCTGGGCTTTACACCCTGTACATAATGCTATCAGCTCTGCGGGGTCCTCTATATGTGGCGTATCTACCAATGATCTCCTCCACTCAATCAATCGCCAATGCAAATGGGGCTGTTCATCATTATCGAATGCATTATTGTTGATTGACACACTTTCTGCGGCACACAAAACTAATCCACGATAACACTTGGTCACGAGCCGTGTTTCGAATATATTGAAATAGAATAGGAAGGCTTTCTTCGAGGTCTCGAGATTGGTGAAACCTTTTTGTATTAAATTCAATCTTGACAAATGCCTAAAACATTAATAAATACCCCTATAGATAGGCTAAAACTGTTCAGTCTATAAATATCCAAAACTAAATACCATATTGAGCTATAGTATCTAAAGGATAAGTCAGCTAACAGATATTTTTCTGGTCTAACGGAATCAAAAATTGCAGCTGCCACAGTCCACTGACGAAATTCCATCCCGACTTTCTCTTCTTTTCGACCTCCTGAAACCACCCTGAAAAAAACAAAATATCCGTACGTTTCCCCAAATCCGTTGCCAAGTGCAGAGAATTCATGGCATTGCAGTGTGACCTATATAAATAAATGTATTTGTGGAACGGCTGCAAAAAGCGAACACAGAAAACTTATATAGTCAAGACAATAAGTATGAACACGCTGAAAAACTATAATCAAATGTTTTAAAAATGTTATAGATTTAAAAAAAATGGTAACATCATTTTGAAGTTTAATTTTTAACAGTAATCAGGGACTGCGTTTTAATTAAATATGATATGATTTTAATTAAATATGAAGTTTAATTTTTAACAGTAATCAGGGACTGCGTTTTAATTAAATATGATAACTATCAAATGTTAATTGGGTGATCTGCCAAGCATGAATATTTAACGACTTTATGCAATGTTTAAAGTAATTTAACTTTTTCCAATTGACTGAATTTATAAATGTTAGGCTCTAAAGATTTCGAAAAAAATGAACTCTACTGTACTATTTCGAAAGGGGCATCCAAAAGTAATAGAACTATGTATAAGTTTTCCCAACTAGACAAACTATTCTAGCGAAAGGCTTCTGAATATTTACAGATTCTATTTTTAGAAATAGGAAACAAAGAAGACTTACAAGTCACAAAGTCAACAAAGCGGTAGTGTAAACATAATTACTTTCCTCACTGTAAACATATGCACATACACATGTAGCTTATGTATATGTATGTGGGTAAACTATGCGCAAGCGGAAGAAGCAGAAAATTCAGATGTTCTCGTTTGAGCTCTTTGAATACAACCACAATATCACGTGATAAGGCCTAACATTTTTTTTTGGGCGCCCTGATCCCAAGGCGGTGCGAGCAAGATAGAGTTATATCGAGAGAAAAAGAGAGCTAAAATGAGAGCGTTTGGGGGTCATACCTCGGAAATGGGGGTGTGTGCCGCTCTTCCTCTCTTCATTCTTGTTGAAAGTTTGTTGCCTTTCCTTTTCCCATTTAAGCAACAACTGCATACGTCTGCCATTAACCCTCCCCCCCCTTGGAAATGCCTCGTAAACTTGTTTATTTATCCATTCAAGTCGAGCCCCCAAAGAAATTGTATTTTTGGTGCAGCTGCTTGTGTATATGAATCGACTTTGTTTTGTTGTTTTCCTCTTTATGTTGTGTACGGTTTCATTTCGTTTTGGTTTCCATTTGCCGTTATGCCCCCGGCCTCCAAAGTGGGCGTTAGTTGCACTTGACTTGCGGTTACGTTTGACGTAACACTATAAATTCCACAAACCATAGGTGTCGTAAAACTACAACTATTTCACTTTTGTACTTAATAGGTCATAATTGTAAATTAAATGTAAAAATTATGACACATATATTACTTAGTATGGGCTAAAAAAATTTAATCACATCGCTTTCAAGGGTAAACAAGCATTAAGCACATTGGTTTAACCCACAGAAGCCACGCCCATTTATTACTTGCCCTTTCCGATGCAAAACAAAGCTCACTTTTACACGCAGTTGTTATTTGCCAAAGAAAAACAGAAAAACAATTATTATTAAGAGTGCAGCACGTAACGCGATAGCGTTGTTTATTTGCATTTTCTTCTCTAGTTTTATTATTGTTGTTGACAATCGGAGGCGGAATAGCGAAAACAAATTTGATATACAACTGGGAATTGGGACCCCCTTGGGTTTCACGGGTTCTTCACGGGTTCCAAACTCCATCAATAACAATAGTGTTCAATGTCGTAGGTGCCTTAAATAGATTAACTGATAAGCGAACGTTATGTGACTTGTTTTCTAACTATGGTTATTCCCGATGATATGGAACCGATCGAGTGAAACTATAGTATGGCTGGGTTAATGATAGTTCGTAACCTTAGCTTTACCTAATTCCGCGTTTTTGTCTTGTCTGATGGCCTGATTTCGATTTGCGTCAATTTCCAAAGTATAACATAATTAAACATGACTTCGTGAATAAATTCTAACCTTATCACTTTCATAGGCCGTACCGCTCGCATCTAATCAAAATATTTGGAAAGTACTAGCGTGTGGCACTGCTGGGAGCTTGATTTCTTATCATGGCACATGCGAAACTTATTTTTATGAGGTCAATATTGAAAGTATGTTTCCTAAGTAGGTCCAATAAATGGTTTACTGGTTAACTCTTTAACCAAAAGATATGTTGCATAATATTTGTTTCAAGTTAACTAGTTTTCCAAATACAATATAATATTTATACTGAATGCATTTTTGTTTTCAATCAAATCCTTATCAACAGGTTGTCGAATCGTACGATAGAACCCTGTTATGAAACACTTACATTTTTTGCCCCATTGTTAAACTCAAGTTTAACCATATGGTGGGATCCATAGTTCCTTATCAGCTTCATAAACTGTGTTGGGGGTCGAGTAGCAAATAGAACAAAACAAACACTTTCAAACCACTCAAGGTTCGTACGTCATTTCCCCTCGGAAAATGACCAACAACAAGAACACTGCCAAGAGCACCACTTGACCCTTTGGATGACACAATGACGCAAAACCGGCGGACATCATCAGACGCAGATCAGCAATCGGGGAAACGCGAGATGAGATAGCCCTCTGAACCCAAAATTATGAATATTGTATAAGACCGATTAGCAAGGGTGCTTAATTTACAAGTGGTTTTTTCTAAGGCAATCGCTGAATTTTCTAGAACCCTTATCAGATTGATTGATTGATTGCTGTAAGTCCCATCCAAGTTAAGGGAACTTCCTAAGTTCAGTAAATTTCAATTATATTTAATTGATTTATTTGTGAAACTTAGACGGGTTAAGAGCTAGTTATAATTAAGGTTTAAATGACAATTTCAATTAACCAATTCCCACATTGTCTTTGTTTTTACAGGCAGCATGACCTCTGACTTCTTCAGGGTGGTGAACGAAGCACGTCGCTATTCCCTGGGTCCTTTCAGTCCCTCCTTCAACATCCAGACCTGTCTGCTGGAGGGTCTACAGAAGCACCTACCAGACGATGCCCACAAGCGGGTTAATGGACGTCTCCACATTTCGCTGACCCGGGTTTACGATGGCAAGAACGTGATCATCACGGAGTTTGAGTCGCGGGAGGAGGTTCTCCAGGCGCTGCTTTGTGCTTGTTTTATTCCTGGATTCTCTGGCATCCTGCCGCCCAAATTCCGAGGGGTTCGCTACATGGATGGCGCCTTCTCGGATAACCTGCCCATTCTGGACGAGAACACCATCACAGTCAGTCCGTTCTGCGGCGAGAGTGATATTTGCCCGAGGGACCAGAGTTCGCAACTCTTCCATCTGAATTGGGCCAACACCAGTATCGAGATCTCCAGACAGAACGTCAATCGGTTCGTGCGGATCCTGTTCCCGCCACGTCCCGAGTTCCTGTCCAAGTTCTGCCAGCAGGGATTCGACGATGCCCTGCAGTTCCTGCACCGCAACAATCTGATCAACTGCCGGCGTTGTGTGGCAGTTCAATCCACATTCGTGGTCTCCGAGACCGTGGCTCAGCCCCAGGAATTCGATCCCGAGTGCAGGGAGTGCAAGAAGCATAGAAAGGTAAGGATTTCCAAATAAACTTTGAACTTAAGTCTACAAATTTAAAACTTTTTGTAACTAATGTATTACCCAAACATAAACCAATATTAATTTATCTTCCCTATTTTCAGGACGCTTTAAGCTCAAACATGCCTAAAACTGTCCTGGATGTATTCCAAGACTATATCGAACAAGCCAATAAGGGTCTGGCCAACTGGATCTTCAAACATCGAGGTATTAAATTGCTTTCCCTGCCCGCTACAGTGCCCATGGACTTTCTTCTGGCCACCATTTCAAAGTAGGTTACTTTACCTTTACCTACCTTGAAGAAAGCTAACTTAACCCTTTGTTACCCTTTTTAGAATTTCAGCATTGACGCCGAAGCTTACCAAGCAAGCCAGAGTAATGGTGGAGGACTTTATTCTTCAGTTGAATAACGCCATGCATATGCGCCTGCTAAACAAATTCACGGTGAGTTTAATTACAAGCTTAGATAGGCAATTAAGTGGATTTAAAATTGAAATAAAAGATAAACGGGTAACCAAGGTGTTCCGTGTAGTATGATAAACATTTTGATGATAATCCACCAAATTTTGAATTGCACCATTGATTACTTTCCAAAATAATTTTGGAATAACTGAAGCATTTTTACTAATGTTTATATTTTATTTGCAGCTTTATGACCAGCCCCACTTTGATGCCACAGGACTTCTGCATTCCAGTCGCTTATACGGACCTCGAGTATCCATTCTTGTGGACGAATGGTAAGTTCAACTTGAACAAACCTCCCATCACAAAAATCTTACTAATAATTATTATATTTACAGTGGAGCCACTCCCCTGGAGGACGATGTCGATAACTTTGAGCATGTCCTCAAGATGACCACGCACAACGACGCTCTCTATGCCTATTACTACACCGACAATAATACGAACAAAGTGAAAGTTACCGAGATCTTCGATATGACGGGGCACGACGAGCTGGCCACCGACCTGCAGATATACGAAGGCTCAGTCGAAGATCACCCCAATCCCCACCAGCACAGCCACAATACGGTGGTCAGCGAATGGAATGGCGTCGAATCAGGTTGGTAGCCAAGCGAAAACCACTTTTTCAAAACCAGAAATCACATCATTATCTAGACATTACGTATCATTTGCAATTTGAATCAACATAAAACATTTTTTGCAGTACAAATTATGCCCACGACTCCTGAACTACACGACGTAGCCTTTTAAAGCACTATCGCACTGTTACCCAAAAAAAATTATACGACTATAAATGCACTCCCATAACCTTTCACCCAATCAAGCATTAAGTCTAAATTTAAAATCATTGGCAGGTAAATGATCGAAATTTTCCATCGGCTCAGGCTCGAAAATTTCATTTCATTTAGTTGACCTACTGGAATAGCTAAACTAATAAATGTATTTCTTTCTAATGATTCACAGACTTTTTCATCGATGCTCAGTCTCCGAATGTGGAGGATAGTAAAACAACAGCGCCACAATTTTCCCGCCTGGAACTGGATCTCGATTCAGACAATAGTGTGCTCAGTGATCCCGAGGTGGACCAGACTTTCAACACCTCCATGCGCAGCACCGATATGTATATAGAGATTGATTGAGACGGGAGGAAAGAATTTGGGGGTCACATATTAGAAACTGTAACGAAACATCTCCAAAGCGGCTCGTAGCAAAGCGAAAAGCCTAGTAGCGTTTCCATTAGCCTAATTAGTCTTAGTACGACCAACGTATGTACCTAACTTAACTTAGCCGTATGCTGCCATTGTATCATCGCCAGTTTGTAAGAGGCAATTAGGACAATAATTGCATTCTTGTTATTAGTCACCCCTCACACGACTTGTATTACATCCAAATCCCATATGTGTTTAGGCTAAGTTGATAATGTATAAACAATAAAACAATAAACAAGATTTACAAAATTCGCATTTATGTGGGTGGGTCAAAGTTTTAAAAAAGAAAAAATTTAGTTTTTGTTCAACGATAAAAGAAAAGTTTATTAGTTTACAATTTTTCGAAAAAGTCATTTTTCGGATTTTTGGAGGGGGTCACATCATAAGAATGCGAAAAGAATGGGGTCTGAGGTCTCTCCTTCATTGCGTTGCATACTTCCGACTGAAATTATGATACCCTCTGCAAGGGTATAAGAATTATGTTATCCACCCTCCGCTTGTCCTTAAATCTTGTTATTAAAATCTTAAATTTAAAAAAAACGTTTCAAAACCGTTATACTTATCGATACCTTTTTTAAACGATAACAATATTAAAGAATCGATGCGAAGTGAGTACCTTATCGACTCCTACACTTGTTAATTTTTGCTTTATATTCAGAGTACCCTAAAACGGTCACACCTTGACTATTATTTTCTTGTAGCCGATTTGATGTTTTGATTTTGGTTAATTAATTGCAAACACTTAGTTTAAATTGTGTGTTTAGTATATTAAAAAGTGGCAATCACACGATGGAGGCAGTTCCGCGTTTGCATATGCTGTGGTTCGCCCTAAAATCGAGTCCCGAAGGAACCTCCTTTGCGGCTTTGAAAAAGGTAAAGAGAGTGCGGTGAAACGGGGAGTGCAATTAATAAAGAGAGTCAGCAAAACAAAGAGGAGCCCCAATAAGTTAAACTTAATTATCGGTCAGGCTGGGGAAAATGCGTTGTTTTTGGCTGTTTTTTGGCGAAAATATAACTGCGCCTCCTGATGCAATTGCATATTCCAATGCTCCCTTCCATTTTCCGATTTTCGCCACCTTTTAAGCCCTCTTTGTCTGGCGGCTGAGTCATCGCCGTCATCTGATTTACTCGCCAAACAATAAGTTATAAACAAACATTGGTGGGAGTTTTGATGGTAATCGGACACAGGCCTTATTTACTTTATAGGGAGCTTTAACTTACTACGAATTTTCAGTTTTAAAGCAGATTGAAGACAAGTTATAGAAGATTAAAGCCTAACAGATGTCGTTAAATTTTTAATATGGAAAAGGTCAGGTGGGAACGTCTAAACCTTTTACAAACAATTATTAACTGCAATACCCATTGGACTTTCATTAAAATTTATCAGCGGGGGAGTATTATTTCTGGATATATTTATATTTGTATTATTCAGAAATTTTATATAGACATGTAATATAGAAATGGGAGTATAAAAAACTAAAAACCAAAAAAATCTCCTTAGTACATTGCGGAATTCTACCATGAAGACCCCGAAGCCTACTCCAAGGAGGTTCATGCATTGGAAACCCTTCGGAACCAGGCGATGCGCACCACCAAGGATGGATCACCGGTGATGAAACGCTACTATTGCCAGCTGCACGCCCTCCAGAATCGATTCCCCCAGCTGGCGGATCGCGGGATCTTCACCTTCACGTGGAAGGATCTTTACCACAATGCCGTTCACGAAGTGAGCGACCTGCGATTCGAACGGGCCGCTGTCCTCTTCAACATTGCCGCATCCCACACTCAATCGGGAGCTTCGGTGACCCGTGGCGATGTCGATGGCATGAAGATGGCCTGCACCCACTTCCAGGCGGCTGCTTGGGCCTACGGAGAGCTGAGGGAACGCTACGCCAATGTGAATAGCGGTGGGGATTTCATGACCCAGGAGCTGCTGGTGTTCCAGCAACAAGTGTGCTTTGCTCAGGCACAGGAATGCATTCTGGAGAAGTCACTGATTGACAATCGGAAGCCACATGTTGTGGCCAAGGTGACGGCCCAGATTGTGGTCTACTATGGAGCTGCATTGGCTGCTCTGCTCACCGGAGGAGATGAGGGTCCGGTGGCCCAGGTCATCGATAGCTCTGTTTACAAACTGTGGAAGAAGTACGTTCGCTTCAAGATCAACTACTTGAACTGCATCCTCTATCTCTACCAAGGACAACATTCCGAGGAGAAGCGACAGATGGGCGAGCGAGTGACGCTCTACCAGGTGAGTAAATATTGCAGTATTAATGATAAATCCTATAGTAAATATATACTATTTAAAGGCCTCTTGGGACAAACTGGAGGAGGCGCGAAAGGAGTCGAAAGGTCTGCCCGATCAGCGCGAAATCAATGAATCCCTTAGCTTCACTGCAGATGTTGTGGAAGCAAAGCGCAAGAACGCCAAAAACGAGAATGAGTTCATTTACCACGAGGCGGTGCCGGAACTCTCCACCATTGCTGCGGTTCAAGGTGCCAATCTGGTCAACGGAATTGGCTTTCAAGTGACCGATGAGGAGCACGCTGGACCGGACATCTTTGCCCGATTGGTGCCCATGAAGGCACACGAAGCCAGTTCTTTGTACAGCGAAGAGAAGGCCAAACTGCTGCGAAAGTATGGAGCTCTGCTGGAGGAGAAGGACACCCAACTGGAGGCCTACATGAGCTCCCTGACTCTGGATAATCTCAATATCAACGAGGAGCAGGCCAACAAGTTGCCTCAAGGAATCGTGGATCGATGTGCTGCCTTGAATGCCAACAAGACTGCTATTAGCGATCTTGTGGAGGCCATGTCTCAGCTGGCTGAGATTACAGCCGATGTGGAGACAAATCTTGGCGAGATCTCCCAGATGCTCGAGGCGGAATCGAAGGCAGAGCGGGAATTCCAATCAGCCAGCGGAGTTCAGAGAACGCCAAATGCTCATATTACTGAATTATCGCGGGAGTTCCAGAAGTACAGTGAAGCCCATGCCCGGGCTGGGGAATCCAATAACACCCTGAGAAAAGCCATGAGTCTGCATGTGAATAATCTAAAAATTCTGGCCAGACCTTTATCGGAAATCCAACAGCTGATGCCCAAACTAAGTTCGGAATTGAATACCACCGAAATCTTTAGGGATGTGAAGCTCATCCTCAACAAAGTCAACGAAATGAAGGCCCAGCGAGCCCAATTCCATGCGGATTTAAGGATAGCCATTAACGAGGATGACATCACAGGCAAAGTAATTGCACATGGTGGCCAGGAGGGTCTCCAGGCTTTGTTTGCCACCGAGCTGGGCAAGCACGACAAGATCACCGAACTTTTGGATCAGAATATGGTGGCTCAAGCCAACATTCTGCAAGCTCTTACTGAAAACTATGCCAAAGCGGCACCAGTTTTGAAGACTCTTCAAGATGTGAAGCAAAAACGGGAGCATTTCTACAGCTCCTTGGCTGCTTCGTATGATGTCTACGAGGATCTGCTGGCCAAGTCCGCAAAGGGATTGGAATTCTACAAAAAGCTGGCCGGAAATGTGCAGAAGCTACTCACCAGATTTAGATCAGCAAGAGATGTGCAATCCGAAGAGCGACAGCAAAGGATGCAGAGCGTCAAGGCGGCCACACCACCAGTGGTCAGTAAACCCATTACGGAGGTGGCTCCTTCGGGAGCGGTTAGTACCACACCGAAACTGAGGGATTACCTTAAGGCCAAGGCAGCAATGGCAGATGCCTCGAATCCCGCTGCAGCCGGTTTCGTGCCCACTGTGCGTCCAGTGCCGGTGGGCTCCGAGAATCCCACCCAGGCGGCTTGCTCCTATGCGACCGCACCACCGAATGAGCCACCACCGCCGTACAGCCTCACCCAACAGCAGTATTTCGATCCCAGTGCCGCTGGCTACACGAATCCCATGTACCAGCAACAGCAGCAGCACATTGCTCCTCCAGCTTACAAGGCGCAAGCATCTCCGAATTCCCAAACGCTTCACGGGGCAATGGCTCAGATGAATCTGCAGGCACAGCCGCAGGATGCCAACCAAGCGAACTTGCCTTATAGTTACGGTTACCCTGGTGGAGCAGTGCCTCCGCTGGCCTATGCCCCACCAGGATCAGCACCCGCGAGCTCTGCTTCTCAAGGTTTCAACGTTCAGCAGCCTTTGTATGTGGCCACTTCGATAAATCCCATTCCGGTTTCGAATTCAAGCGAGTTGCCCTCTTCCCTACAAGCACCCTTTGTGGTAAACCAAATGGCCAATCAATACCAGGGAATAGGATACCCTCCTCAGGGACAGTCCTACCAACAGGTTGCTGCTCAAACTCAACAGGTGTCCTATCCACCGGGAACCTCTGGTTATCCAACTCCTGGCTATCAAAATCAAGCGGCGCAGCAACAAACTGGAGGGTATCCCCAATCTCAGACACCACAGCAACAGGTGGCGGGTTATCCGCAGCAGCCACCAACAGGATATTCCCAATCCATGACGCCTCAACAACCTGCAGGATATCCCCAGAATCAAACACCACAGCAACAGGTCACCACTGGTTATTCTCAAAGCAAGCAAGCTACAGGATTTTCCCAAGCACAGACTCCGCAGCAGCAACATTCGGGATATCCACAGACGCCGCAGCAGCAGACCACAGCTGGATATCCGCAAACCCAGACACCTCAACAACAGACAACAGGATATTCACAGTCACAAACACCTCAGCAACAACCAACGGGATACCCACAATCCCAGACGCCACAGCAGCAACCAGCAGGATATCCACAATCCCAGACACCTCAACAACCACTCGCATATCAGCAGCAACCATCCGGTTATCCACCACAGCAACCAACGGTTGGACTTGCTCCTCAGCAACCTTCACTGTTTCCATCGCAGGCTGTCCAAGCCTCACCTCAACCCATTCCAGGTCACCAATCCTCGCCACAGAATGCTGGGCAATCCCTGCAGTATCCACAGCAGTACAGTGATCCCAATGCAGCTCCAGCCTCCGCACCTGGAGCATCTCCTGTTCCGAATCCTGCTCAAGCTCAAAACGCTGCGCCAACATCATCGCAAGCTGCAGTTCCTGTTTCGCCACATCCTTCTGCCAACTACAGCAGTTATTCCAATCATCCTGGCTACAGCTTCAATCCTCAGACCGGACAATACGAGTACAGTAGTGGAGGAGTGAAGGGATCCCAAGGATCACAGGGCTACCAGTTCAGCCAGAGCGGCAAGCAGCAATCCGTGGGCACCACCGACTCAGAGCTCGCCAATCGCAGCAACACGGCCACGGGATTCGATGTGAGTAATATATATCCATCTCCATAAGGCTTCTAATTCAAAATGAAATCCTTTCAGTCACCTATTGTATCCCACACCAAGGCCAATCAACCAGCCACGGACTCCACTTCAGCGGAAGGGGAAAAGGAGTCAACCAACTACTACTCAGCTCCCTATGGCTACCATACCAACGTAACTCCCCAGCCGCAGCCCACTCCCACGCCTCCAACGAATCCCACGAGCTCCATTTACATGCAATGCGGAGCAAGCAGCACGGCTCAAACTCAAACGACCAGCAGTGGACCTCCATACGCCTCCTCCACAGCTTCTGCTAAGGTGGAACCGAAATCGGAGGCGGTGGCTCCCAAGGTAACCAGCAATGTGGATCTACTAAGTGACCTGGACATCGACTGCGCCGTGGCTGTGCCGCCGCCAATGTTGCCACAACCTGTGCTTCAGCCGCAAGTTGTATCCTCGCCAACTCCGCCACAAAGTCAGGTTTCAGCTCCCAGTAAAGCAGAGAATGTTGTGGAGGTAAATTATAATGTTTTCCTTTGTTAGATTTAATCTAACATTTTGTTCTCTTTCAGCCTGTTGTTTCCACTTCTCCTGAGGTTCCTCCAGCTGCAGAAATTACTGCAATTCCAGCATCGGTTTCAGCCACTGCGAAGTGCACCAGTCTGGACAACCTCTCCAATTGCTCGGACCTGAGTTCCCTGGAGAATTTCGACTGGGACTCGGTTTCCCTTACACATTCCGTCAGTGAGAAGCAGCCGAAGGCATCCCCAGCCAATGGCCATTCGAACAATTTTGCATTCCAAGCCGAAACATTCACCGATGAAAAGACCACGAAATATTTCCAAAAGGAGGTCGAGAGCTACGAGAAACTACTGGAGAATCTGCACGTGAAGATGCTCAATGGGAAGACCCAACTGGGGGCCAAGTGGCAGGAGTTGCAGCAGAAACTGGAGAAAGAGGCGATTGCCAACAAGCGGTCCACGACCATTGCGAAGTTATTCCCCGAGAAGAATCGATCCCTAGACTGTTTGCCCTACGATCATGCTAGGGTGAAACTGGACAAGCAGACAGATGACTATATAAATGCGGCCTACATGAAGGTGAGTAAGCGAATGAGGATCACATTCTTTGATACTAATATAATCTCTTTTTTTTTAAATTAAAACAGAACCTAAGTGCCGGCTGTCCCAACTTCATCATTGCTCAGACCCCGCAAGCGAATACCATCAACGATTTCTGGTCCATGATCTGGTCGGAAAAGTCACGTACTGTGGTCTGTCTACATACCACCAATGAGGTAAGGTGTCTAAAGTAATTTATAAACAAGTTTTAATTATTTTTGTATATTTTTTCTTAGCTTTTTGATCCCTATTGGCCACAGACATTGGATCAGCCCACTCACTACGATGACTACACCGTGACCTGTGTGAAATTGCAGCCACTTAGCCACTGCACCGAGTACCAATTAAAACTATCCATGCACGGAGCAGATGGAGTGCTGGATTTATCTCTACTGCAGCTGAAGCAGTGGACCAAGGGGTACATGGCTAAAATTTAATCAAATTAGGAACTTTGAAATATAATCTATCATATTTTATTAGCGCACCTGCTCAACTTCTGGGAGTGGCTCAAAATGCTCTGGAGACCCATCGTCAGCGCTGTCAAGCGGTTAACTCCCCCAACTCGCCGCTCATTATGAACTGTTTGACGGGTTCAGAGCGTTCAGAACTTGTGGCAATTGGCGTATGTGCCATTATAGCCACGCAGAATAAGCAACCGATTCTAATTAGTGAGTATTATAATAAAATTACAAATATGTATACAGTTTAAATCAATTTAATTACCTTATTGTCGTTCTTTTTGAAGAGTACTTTGTTTGAGTAATACAACAATATAATTTATTTTGCTCTTTCTATAATAATATATTCTATTAATATTTTAGATACCGTTGATGTTTGGTCGCGCATTTGCGCACAGCGTCAAAATTCCCTGAGGGATTCAGCCATTCTGGAACAGTCCATGCAAATTGTGCTCTGCAATGCCCACAATGTGCTTAACAAGCGTAAGATACCTGCAACTATTAATATATATTTTTTGAAACTCAAATGTAATAATTTTGTGGCTTTGCAGGTGGCATTATGACCTCATATCAAATGAAGATGGCGCCGCAGGTGACTGCCAAGGAGCAGCAGGAGACCAAGGATCCGCTTAATGAATTGGATGCACTTTGGAAGCTGAAATAAACGACTGAATCAGCCAATCAACCAATTGCGGCAGATAACTAAAGATATATGCTTAATCAAATCGAGTATTTATACAACTATTTAACTGTGCAAACCTATTTCTAACGATCTGATATTGTTGCAAACAATTTAAAGCAAGTGAAAAGTATTGAAAGGGATAACGAAATCTTTTTTTTTTCAACTCAAAAGTAATTGTCTTTTTCAAATGTTATATAAAGTGTATTTCAAAGCGAACCAAATCGTGATGTTAATGGGATATTGTCAAGCGTTTCAAACCACTCTTTACGAGTATATTAAATATCATTAAACATAACTAAATATTGTCAAACATTTATATCAATAAATAAAACACTGAAAATCAAATGCAAGTAGAGAGCAATCGTTGTAAAAAAAGTCAAAGAATCGATTTATGCTACTCCATCATGAAGGTGATCAACATTCGCTGGAGGATCTTTCTGCCTGGTCTGCTGGTGGTTATTTATTTGCTGAGTGCCCTGGTGATTTTTGGAATGGATTTAACTGGCATTCAGCCGGTGGAACCGCGAGTTGCAAAAAACCATTCAAATGTTGAAAGAAGGAGTCGAGTGTTTAAAAGAAAAATTCGTAAACCAAATTATAAATCCTGGGGACGGTTGCATCCGAGCTCAGAGATAAAGCCCCGATATCGGTTTAGTGGTGGCAGAACGGCAGTGAAGTTCGTGATTGGAGTGCCTACTGTTTTGCGACCCAGAACGAACTATGTGCTTCCGACCGTGTACAGTTTAATCCAACAGATGACCCCAAAGCAAAGAGATAATTGCCTCATTGTAATTTATGTGGGTGAAACGAAGCTGCAGTTTGCCAAGTATATAGTCAAGACCCTCCATGTAAATCATTCGGAGCATATGCGAGCGGGTCTTATCGATGTGATTGCTCCACCACTGAATTACTATCCGAACTTTTCGAGACTGCACATCACACTCCACGACGATCCGAAGAGGGTTTATTGGAGGACCAAGCAGAACCTGGACTATATATACCTGATGTCCTATGCCAGGTCAAAGGGTTCCTATTATCTGCAACTGGAGGACGATGTGAAGTCGAACAAGGGATTTCTGGACTACATTGAGAAGTTTGCCATCCTTCATGGGAATTTTCGGTTTGCCCATCAACCCGATTGGATTGCCATAAGCTTCAGTGACCTGGGATTCATTGGGAAACTGTTTCCCACCTCGGTTCTTAACTCTTTTGTTGCCTACTTGCAGTTGTTTTTCAATGATCAACCCATCGACTGGCTGCTCCAGAGTTTCGTGACCCTGCAAAGCTGTCGCTGGGATAGTATTGCCGATCCGAACTGCCAAATGGACTACGAATCCAGACTGATTCGTGCCGGACAATCGCAGTTCCAGCACATGGGTGAGTTGTCCTCGCTGGCGGAGAAACTACAGTATCGAAAGGATGGATTCTTCAATCACAATTTGGGAAGACAGCGCATGCAACATCTGCGACAGCCGTTCAACCTCATAGCTTCACATCGAAATGCGCTCTTGAAGCAGGATCTCGATCTCAAATCGGGCGAAACGTTTATCTGGATTTACATGCCTCAGATGCCCAAAATGGTGAAGTACCTCATCAAAAATCAGTTCAAAAACACGCAGATTCGTATCAGAAATGCCAAGGATACGGCGATTAATTTGGCGGAGTTCAATGTACATTTGGTGAAGGAATCACCCACTTTGGAGAAAAACAGTTCAGCTACAGAAGAATGTGGTTTCGTCTTGTGTCACACAGTTTTAGGACACGATGAAAAAGATTTAAATAAGGAGGAGCTACCCTATAATTATATGTACTACTACATCAAGGAGGAACCCGATGGTCTTAACTGGTTCCGTCGATTTCTTTGGGCTTCCAATGGATCTGTCAATCATAAATTGATGTCCTCATCACCACATTTAATCCTTGTCTGCTTGCAATTAATTATTTTATTTATTTCATAGAAAAAATAAAATAAAACCACTTCAAAATGTATTTTCAAATACTTGAATTATTTATTAAGCTTATACACACATTACACGCATATATTTGTTCGTCTTGTTTGATTTCGATTAAGTTTTGAGTTGTCCCAACGGCTTATGCATATTGTAAAAGTAATTTGTTTTGCAATAATTCAGCTACTATCATTATGGGTGTTTTTGGGTTCGATTCGTGGAAGGGGAAGCCTATAATGTCAGCTAATGTATAATTCAGTTGAATCACTATCAACTATTATTGTTGCTTGCTAATTGGTTGCAATTTGGCAAAATGAGTTTTTTTTTTCGGGGAGAGCGAGTGCCGTAAATTCTTGCTGCTAGTTGCCGCACACATAACACAGGGATATATAAAAATATATATATTTATGTTCGTATGATTATGCAATAGTAAGTATATGCAAAACATTTCTTTAATTTGTTCAGTTTATCGAAAGCAGTCTACAATATTTGTTACTTTATATATAGCGGCATAAACAGAAACAAATGGGATAATATTTTTAAACATCGAACTCAAGATATATATGTATGCCACTATATATTACAATTCTCGTTACTCAACAGGAACCAAGTTTAAACAATCATCATTCATGTTTCTTCGTTTATAGTTTTGTCGTAGTCTATAAAAAATTTGGCGTTTCCAATTAGTTAAACCAATCATTAAATTTCTCAAATGTATATAAAAAATGTTCTCTTTTTTTTTGGAATTTGGTTTTTCAGTTGCTAATCAGCGTTGTTTATATTTACGTGTATATATAATTTAGGTAATTCGTTTTTCATTGTTATGCAAAAATTATTAACAAATCACAGTAAAAAAGCAACAATGCTAAAAATCGTTTCGTTATATTATGCTGTAATGTTTATGTTAATGCATATTATATTTATGTAGTTATGGCTTCATGTTCAAGGAGGTGGCTATATATAACTGATTTAAGCATGCTGGATGAATTCATAAAATTAACATAAATAATTATTAGATAGTGGAGGAATACTTTTAACCAATAAACTTAGGTGTGTAACATAGATCGATAATGTTGATTATTGATCGAAAAGATTTCAGCGAGTTCGAGATTCTTGATCACTTGGATATTCAGCAAATGGAAACAAAATTAATTGGAATGTGTGTTTTTTTCAGCTGCCGATAGAATGAGGTTAACACTTATAAATAAAGCAAATTAAATCGTAAATCGTTATGTAATAATATAGGGAAACCGCATCAGTTACATAGCCCACAACTTGATCCGCACAATGTATATGTATATCAATAGGTTTAACCACCACGAAAAAATGGAAGGGGCACTTGGAGTATATCAAATCCATATGGATATACGCAAAAATACACTGATAGCTCGGGGACACTAAATAAGACTCATGGCGGACTGCAGGCCGAAAATATTGCAGAGATTTTTTGTAACGCTTAAGTTAAAGAAACCCTAACAAATTGGTTCTGGGGGATAGTCGCCATATCATCGGTCTGCAGTCGAATATAAATCCTATAGCTAGGGATAATCACTTACAAGTTAGCGAGAGAGCAAGAGCGTTACGTTCTGGGAGATTATTTACACATTGAGATATTCGAGGGTAAAAGCATCATTCGAAAAATATACACACAGATGTACAGACATTGGGTTGGATCGACATTGTTGCAATGCAAAAAAAAAAGGTGAAAAAGTCTAGTAATCAAGTAGACAATAAATACATCTTTGTATGCAAAATCAAAATCATTTGTTAACGATTCTCAAGAGATTCGCAAGCAATTAGTTTGGATTCCCACGACTTTTTCGCAACGCCATCGACCCAATCCCAACAGATATAGACAAATTGTGGATGGGGATTAGATTGGACATTAACCGGAGGAGGTTCTTAGGGGTCCACTGGAGTTCGCTTCCTATTCCTCCCAGTCCTGTCGCTGCCGGTGGCGATGTAGCAATCAGCTGCCCGCCACAAACCGCGGCTTTGCGGCATTCGTCTCCGACTTGGGATCGCTTGCCCACTCCTGCAGCTCAATCTCACTAAGCAGAGCCCAATTCTCGCTGTCGCTGTGCACGTGGAGGCGCAACTCCTTGATGGGACCGATCTTCACGTCCAACAGACCCTCGGCCACGCCTAAACTATCGAAGGCACCCACCACTAGATAGCCATCCGTGGTGGTGTTGTAGTTGCTCCAAACGGAGGAGTTCTCGCTCAGCGTGTCCACCGGCAGCAGCTCCACCGTGGTGTTGTAGAATCTGTCCGACGGATGCTCCGAGTTTCCACTCCTGAACAGATAGCGCCTCAGTTGCGTGGGTCGTTCGAATATAATCTGCACCAAGTCGCCAGGTTGCGGCAGCAATCCCCAGAAGTAGGATTCTCCCTTGTAGGCTCTTTTTAGGAGATAGTTCTTATACGGAGCAATGTTGGACTTGACCAAAGCCGGCGGATTATGCGTATGGGCATAATACTGAGGCACCTTGCTGCCAAACTGCTTGTCCTTCAGCTTCTGGACCTTTCCCTTCAGCGAGGAACTGGTGCCAATGTGCTGGAATAGGGATTTCCGAAAGTGCTGCCAGTACTTTGCCTTCTCCTGGTTGCAATGCTTCTGATCCTTGTCCGTTCGACAAACCTTGGACTCTATAAAGTAGGTAAGCAGCCAATCCACTGGTTTGTCATTGTAGAACATTTGGAAATAGGTAATTAGGTAAGGCAACTCCGCACTCTTGAACATCTTGCCAATGAATCCCAGCTGACAGAAGTCCAAAACAAACCAGGCCGGCTGATCGGGTTTGGTCAAGGCGCTCTTGATCAAGGCGAATTTCTTCATTGTGGTGATAAACTGCCGCTTGGTCAGGATGTCGTCCTCCAGCTGAACGTAAAAGGTTCCCTTCGAGTGCGCATAAGCCATGAGGTAGGCGAAGTCCAAGTTCTGTTTGCTGCGCCATTTAACCCGCTCCAAAGGATCGTTTAAGGTGATGCGAAGTCGCTCGAAGTTGGGATAGTAACTGGGAGCAGGTGCTATAATATCAATCAGTCCGCTCTCCACGTGCTGCTCGAAACTCGTCTCGATTTGCCGAGCAATAAACTGCACCGATTCCAGATCCGTTTCGCCAATATAAACAATGATCAGCGTTTCGTTCTGCTCCTCCTCGTTCATGTTCTCGATGAGATTGTGGAGGGTGCCGAGGAGGTAGGACTGCTTCTCCCGCCGCACGGTGGGCACGCCCAGGACGATGCTGACATCCGAGCGACCCTTGCTTTGCAAGTACGCCGGACGCAGGGAGCCCGCATCGTCGAGGAGATGCGGCAGGAAGTGATAGGCATTCGGCAGTCGGATGTTCTGACTCCGGGCCATTGAACCGTTGGCCCCACCACCCTTGCTGATGTGCGAGGCGTTCCGCAGCAGTTGCCTCGCCTCGGGACTCAGGCCGTCGAGCAGATTGACCACCGGCAGGGGAGGTGGCGGCGGCGGCGCAGCACTGGCCGCCGTTCCATTGACGGTCTGCAATTGGCCAAGGTACTGGGAGAGCAGGGCGACGTCCTCCTGGCGGGCACGGTACATCGACTCCAGGTACTGCAGCCGCATATGGCATTCGGCCAGCCGCTGTGTCAGCGACTGTTCGGTGGATAGTTCGGGTCCCATCACCATCAGGATCACAATGCAGGGCGCCAGCACCAGGACCGTCACAATCAGCATACAGTTGCGCTGCCTAATCTTGAACATCTTTCGTTTCGGCGCACCCGCACCGGGATTTCTTCGCTAACTACTAGATTAATTGGCTAACTGTTTGCCTTTGGGCTGCTTCGTCGCTTCTGCTTCCGCTTCTGGTTCTGGTTTTCTGGCTTTCGGTTCTGGCTCGGTCTCTGGTTCGTTTCGCTGGCGCCGTTCCCTTGGGCCGGCTGTCATCCTCATTCCTCCAGTGACTAATGCAGGCGCTGCAACAAAAGCAATGCGTTTAGTTTTTACATGTACATTGAAAGAAAATATTTCAATAAAATATAACTTGAGTTCTCTAACTTAAATTGTACCCAAATATAGTTGAAGTCAAATATAAATCTTTAGATTTATGAGTCCGCCTTCCATAACTCAACTTGTATAACTAAAAGGTTTTGCAAACGAACTAATTTTAGTGGCAATAGTAATTATTACTATAGTAGAAAAACTTTGCCTATAAATAACTAATTTATACGGCAGATGAGAGCTGGAATTATTCTTATTACTTTTAAATAGATCAGCATTCCGGAATATTATTCTCATATTTAACTTGAGTTATTCAACACAGCAGAACGAAAGGTTTTTAATTTGTAATTTAAAACCTTATCTTAATTTATCTTTAATAAGGGCAAAAATCCCAACTGGCTTTTAATAGGAAAAGCAAGTGCTTTGTATATTATAGTAGATTGGTATATATTTATTTTTAAAGTGTGATGTGGTTTGGCCCTTGGGGTTGGGGGCCTGAAGGTCGCACCGTTTAACGGGTCTTTGTAGCCGCATTTTGCCTTACCCGAGTTGGATTAACGACGTCGTCGGTGGTGGCAGCTGTCGCAATTCTCGCCACATGACCTGGCCGTGGGTATAGAATAATAATAATTGTTATGTACTGTGCACTCGAGACGATGGCAGGCAGTAGACGACTTAGACTTACATGGCCAAGAGCCCGGAAAGCTTTGTTCTCCTCCTCGCCGCCAAAAGTTCGATCGGTGGGTCTGGAAATGGGAAGGAAACGCTCTTTACTACTTGATAATTGCAATCGTTGGGCTTGGCAGTGCTAAAACAGGGTATATTTAGCATTGCCCGGTTTTATAGAGCCAGTGGGTGGTCCCTTCGGGCTTTGCTTATTATTGTGAATTATTCACCAAGGATTTAGCTAAGTTAATTAAAGAATATAAAGCTTCAAATAAATGTCATTAATGAATTAATTTTAAAGAATTACTGCTAAGAAATAACAAAATAATTTTGAAAAAACTACATGGGTAAAAATTAAGATAAAATGAAAATAAAGAAATAATTTTTCGAATGGGAGCTACATACGTAATTCTTGATTTTTTTTGGTCAGAAATTTACTGTAATAGAAACAACGATTATAGTTAAAGGAGTTTCTGTAAAGTGACTCTCCTGTTGATTCCTGATTAGGAATACAAATGTTTATTGTTTTTACGTAAATATCTCACGGCACATCAACCATATGGTACAAATCACTTCACAACAAAAATGAAATGTCCTTAATTCAATAAATCAATCCTTATTATTAGCCACCAGATTTTTTATCCCTGTATTCCAGGTATTAAGTTTTCGATATCGAAAATCGTTTTCAGCAATGTGCGAACATTAACAATGTGGGGTCTAAATTTTCGCACTCCGTTTAGCAGACGTAGGCGAAAGTAAACAATGGCCCGAAAAAAAAGATAAATAGGTAAATAAACAGCAACACCCAAAAGTTCGCACCCACGCACACACACACACACACAGAAACACGCACAGCCCTATTTACTCACACTTAATTGCAGCTCAAATAGGCAAGTAAATGAATTAATAAGCACTTAAATAGGAACAAATTGAACGCAGTGGCTTTTATTTATCCATCTATGGATTTTGTACGCTGGGTGTTGTCGCCAATTCGCCGTTTTTTCCCTTTTTGGGTGCTCCCCGATTTTTCGCCATACGCGTTTTTCGTTTGCCGATTTTGCTATTACATATTTTCGTTGGCCCGCCGCGTGCGTTATGTAAATGTAAATGATGTAAATTGTTGCAGCACTCGCGATGGCGATTGTTTAATGCTATATACAGCGGGGAATTGTTTCAACGCCCGTGCAAAAACAACAACAAACGACCATTTTGTTAGTAGTTCATATTAGCCTCTCTGGTAGCCGTTCTTTGGAACTAGTTCGGTTGAGTCTTTTAACCTGGTCACCCTAACGCTTATCGATAAGAGTAAAAAGTTAAAAAAAATAATTTTTATATTGAATTTAACTTATAAGCAACCAAAGTTCCAAACGAAATATTTCTGACATTGTTAAATTTTCTTCTTCAGTTATTTTTATTTAAAAAAGTTACACTCTTTTATGAATTTTAACAGCTACTCATCACATGTAAAATAAATGCTGATTGTAGACAAATTTGAACATTTACAAGCATCCTTGAAAACAAAACTTCATATTAATATTGGATTCGTAAGTAATGGTTGTATTTTGTGAAATAATTTGAATTTATACTGGTCACAGTGTGCAAGAATCTGTTTCTTATATCCAAAAAGTTTTTAATTTAAAATCGACGCTTTGCTTCAGTTATAGTACAAATTTGGCATCTCTAAAAGAAACAACAGGTACCCAAAAACCCTCCCATCTCTAGCGGCTACATAAACAACAAAAAAGTTTTGCGAAAATGTATTTAACTCTACTAAATGGCACCGGCTTCGTATTTAATGTAGATGGTAAGCTAATTTTTGCTTTTAATTACAACATTTGAACTTAATCAATGATTTATAGACTACATGGAACTGCGGAGCAAACATCGCATAATGGGTGCTCCAGTGGGCACAGCGAACACCAAAGGATGGAGTCCCAATCAGTCCAGTAAGTTTTAAAAATATAACCTCCGAAAATATGTCCTAATCAAAATATAATCATTTACAGAGGATGTTCATTAACTATATTTAATCTTACAGCCTTGCCAGTGGAGCTTACTAAATTTGAAACCCAGTTGATTCTGGATGAAAATATAGCAAAGTTAGTTGACAAATCTCAAGCTTTGAAGAATCCACCAACCGAAGACGAACTGGAGAATTACAAGACTGACTTCGAATCTCGTCTAGAAGGACAAAAGGAAGCTCTTAAAACGGAAAAGCTTCGGGAAACAGAACGCTATATGGAAAAAATACTAATGGGCAAACGCAAGAAGTTAATCAAACAGGGGAAAAACGAAATGGGTAATGTATTAATTTGTGATTAAACCGTATATTTTGATATATGATATTAATGATATAATATTCTAAAAATCTATTTACCTTAGCTGCCGCTTTAACTGCTGAAGATGTGCTGAAGGAAATGTCAGACAGTTTTAAATTCGATCGACAAAATGCCCTAGTGGAGGTGCCTTGTGAACATCTTGAAAAGCATTGTATATAAAAAACAACTAATATCTCTCGACTATATAATTCTAAAACCGGTTTCTTATAAAACCCGCAGCTGCTCGAATAGTTTCTGGACCTATCGTGAACGTAATGTCCCTAAAATACCGCATTTTCAAAGATCTTTGGAAACAGGGAACGTTTGTGACCTCTGGTGATGCTTTTGGAGCCGACTTTTTGGTGTATCCCGGAGATCCCCTCATTTACCACGCCTCTCATATTGTGATTATACAGGACACGCCCACAATTAAACCTTTGGATCTGGTGGCCAAAGTTCGGCTCTCTGTGATCGTCAACAAAGGTTGCGTTTTCGCGTATAAAAACGAAAATGATGAGGAAATTCGATACCAATCTGTGGCATGGTGTAATCTGATCAAGTGAGAATATTAAAGGTAAGTAGTTTCATTAAAATCATTTTGATAAATGCAATTAAATTAAATTAAAATTAAAAACTGGCAGTCACATGGAAACCGAAGAAATATTTTACAATTATTTCCCAAAAATGTTGGAAATTTATTAGTTGTTCATTCTATGTTTTTGGAAAGATCTTACGAATCCTTTTTAGTTTGCTTCAAATTTCGTGGTTTTATCCCTTATCAGTATTGCCTGAGTCATAATAGTTATCTATGCTAATGCGAGTATTATGTTTTTAAGTACCGTACTATCTTTGTTTTCGAGTAACTCATAAGTTCTACATAAATAGCTCTTCCTAAAACTCTGACATGAGGGAATGTAATGACTTTTATAATGTACCGAAATATTTTAGCAAGTGATTAAAAGAATCAACTTTTTTTTTAAGATTGAGCGGGAGAGAGTATGATTATTTCCGTGAGCATGGGTTTTGTTTTTGGCGCCGAATTGGGTTTCTTTTTCAGAGGAAATTGGATACAACAGCAGAGACACAACGCTCCCGCAACGGCCCCCCTCCAAACCCTCTCCCCACCAGCGGCCTCTCCACGTTTCTCCGTCTCGCTCTGAGCAGCAGGAGCAGCGCCAGAAATTATTTCTCCCACTCACAGTTGGAAATGGTGCACAGTACACATGGTAAAATCGGTTTTAATATGACCACGGCATCCAACTCGAGGAGGTGTTTGCTCGCCACTTTGTTCAGGGTCCATTGTTCCAGTTCTCTAGCGGGAGCGACTCTATAAAGTTTTGTTAAATTAATTAGTGATACAAAATGAGGTTATAATTTGATGGCCCCCCACCAAAGAAACAGAAACACACATGCAAACACACAGCGTATACAACTGCGTATTTGTTTTCAACAAAGTTGTGCTGAATTCTTTATGTTTTGCGTTCGTTTCAAGTATATTCAGTTTTTTTTTAAATAGAAACAACAACGTCGATAAGGCGCGGTGGGGAAGGCCAGGCAAAAGTCGTGCCGTGCCGTTCGAATTTCATATAGTCGGGTTGTCGCACAGTGGCATGAATTATACGTATCTTTACTAAAAAATCACCATTTCATCCCTTGTCAAAGCAAAAATAGAACAAATTATTTAAATGTACAGTGACTCAAAAGTACAGAAAAAGATATACATATGTATATGTAGTTATTTGTTTAAGATGAGTAATTTAAGTGCTGATTTTAATCACCACGTAAAACCTCATCATCCTTATAATATTTGACCACTTTAACACATATTTCCTCCCACTGTTTTTAGCTTGCGCTTATTCCGCCGCCCCTTCGTAACTCTTACCCCACACCCGTCTGCCTCATTACCCATCACCACCCCCCGTCTGGTGCGCTCTCTCCCGCTCTTGCCATGCTCCGTTGGTCGGCACTGCCAGCTGCGAAATACGCTCACTGCTTTAACACCGATTGGAACTTTAAAGGGGCCTTTCGAACCGCATTTCTCATGGTCCCCAACCCAAGCAGCATCAAAACAGAGAAAATTGTAATCTTAAAAATTCGGCCACTCGCTCACTTATATTACCACTTCTCTGAGCCTGAGCGTCGGATAGAACACCTCTCCTTCCTCTTTATTCGATTCAACTTCCCTATCGCGGGGGTTTCTCCGCTCTTAAGCGGGACTTGATCTGCATACGAGAATGAGAATGGCTATATGTTTTCTATATGTTTTTACCCTGTAGGGTCTCTGAGATGATTCGAAAGTAACAGGTGATTGGCAAGGAGAGAGGAGAGTCGGAGATAAGGAAAAGAGAATGTAGAGCGGGACTCGCGGGCGTAAGAGCGAGCCGGCTTTTCTATCAGTTGTTATTATTTTTACAGGATCTGTTGATATTTTGAAATTAAAGAGAGTTGCAAACCGATATATCAATAATTTTATTAGGATTCAAAAAACAATTTGAAGATTACTTAAATTAAAAAAAAAAAAACAATTTAAAGTATAAGAAGTATTAAAATTTTGGAAAAAAAATTTAAATTGCACCATTAATGTTTCTTTTAAAAGTTGTTTCAAAGTCAAACCACATTTCTTTAGTTTTTTACGCTTTAAGTTTATTATATTTTTGCATCTCTAATCAAGCACCTTTCTTATCATTCCACTAGTTTACTAGTCAAAAATTTTCCACGATTTAGTGGCACACACTGGGTAGCCTACAGCTAAAATACATATATATAAACAATTTATAAGGATGTGAGAATTATCTTGCAATATTTAAAAATTTCGGATTCTGAATCTGGTATTGATAGTTTCGTTTAAATGTCGTCTAGATAGTTATAGAATGTATTTGTTTACAACTGAAGAAGTAAATACCATTTATGTAAAACATTTTGTTTCGGATCCGATAGTTTTTTAACCTATGCGCCCCTTGACCCTTTCTAATCTGTAGTGTTGGCCCCAACATATTCTGTCCGCCTGGCTGGCCACATGTGTTTTGAGTTTGTCGTGTCGGCCCAGAATATTTCCACTATTCAATATTTACCACCTTTTATAGTTTTGTTTACTATCTGGCCGTCTTTTTTCTGTTTTTCCGTCTTTCTCTCCTCTCCCTGCCTAAAAATACTCTTCCCTCACCCATCTGGCAATGCCGCTCGACAACTGTACCTCAAAGAGCGTTGCCAGGCCAGTTCTCTCACACAGATACACGCATACACGCACACCAGCGCGCAGCAACCACCAAAGTGTGCGCGTGTGTTGAGCGCATGACCAGAAAGCCAGAAATTGTTTTCTCCCCCGTGTAGAGAACTGAAAACGCGCCGCGCTGGCAGCAGCGGAGCAGCGAAATCGATCGAAGCGGTTTGCTCAGCAGCGCCCGCGTCTCAGTTTCATTTCGAGTTATCCAACGTTGGCGAGCGGACAAGCAGGAGAAAAAAGCAAGCGTACCTCGTACGGCCAAGAGAAAGAGCAGGCGAATCACCCACTGAAATTTTCTTTTGCGCTCCGGTGAGAAGATAATTTCACAAACCGAAAACCAGCCAACAAAAAAAAAACAAAAGTGCGCTCCGTGAGCGGGAAAACAATAACAAAATCAAGAGACAATCGGTTATAAAACACACAAAAAACTGAGTGAACTAAAAAAACCAAATGCGTGTCTCATGTTTGACTGTACTGTGCATTAAATAAATGTGACACAGACACAGACTGTGTCCGTCCTGCCCGAGTTTGTGTAAGTGTGTGTGCGGTTGGCGTTTTTAAATGTGGCGCGCTATTTTTATGTGATTTTGTGGGCAGCAACGAATTTTGAAACAAAATTTTAGTAGTTGGTGAAAAAGTCCCCTCCAACAACAACGAAATTCCTGTGAGCAGCCTACACAACACATGCGTTGTCTCGCTCTCGCGCGCTCTGGCCCCCAAAGAGTCGTAGAGAGCAGGAGAGAGAGAGAGAGAGCGAGAGTACACCATATTAACGTTGGCACTCTTTTCTTACATTTCAGATTCGTGAAAGCAGCGCGCCAAGCAGCAAGAAGAAGCAGCAACAGCAGAGGGAGTAGGAAAGCAGTGGCGTAGAGCGGAGGAGTGGAAAGGGGATTTTTTGCGAAAAATCCCGATTTGGAGAGAATTTTCCGTGGAACCGTGTAACATTAAATCGTCGTGTTGGAGACAAATAGCAGCGAATACGCTAGCAACGCTGGGGAGGAACAACAATTGTTGGATTTGGACGCGACTGCTCTGATGTCGCTGCCAATGAATTCGCTGTATTCGCTCACCTGGGGCGATTACGGCACCAGCCTCGTATCGGCCATCCAATTGTTGCGCTGCCATGGCGACCTCGTCGATTGCACGCTGGCAGCCGGCGGGCGGAGTTTTCCCGCCCACAAGATAGTCCTATGCGCCGCCTCCCCCTTTCTGCTGGACTTGCTCAAGGTAAGTGGGAAAAAACGTTTAAAGCACCACAAACAGAGAGTTAACCGCACATAACCTCAAACGTGGCGTACAGTTTGTAAACAGAGAAATCCAATCGCAGAAATAGGTTAATGTGTGGAGCGCAGAGAAACCTACACACACAGAAATATATCTGCCAGATTTACGCTCCGCTCCAAAAGTTGTCTAGAGATTTTTGTACAAGTTTTCCACTGTCAATTGAGTTGAATGAGTGCCCCCTTCCCCTGCACATTTTCTCCTCCCCCACCACAACCTCCCCCTCTTATCAGTTTGTCTTGTTGCAAAGTTCACCAGAGAGCGAAAGAGAGAGAGTGAGAAGTAAAGCGCAGACGGACAGGGAGAGAGCGAGAGAACCAGTTGGTTTGGAAAAAAAATTGTGGGGCTTTAAAGGGGAGCGGAAACGCGAGGGGAAGAGGCAAAAGCTGCTGCGCCAACTTTTAGCTCGCATGTGTTAGAGCGAGCGCAAACGAGAGCGCCAAAAAAGCAGCACGGCAACTGTTGTAGTTGTTGTGCTTGGCTTGTTGGAGCTTTTGTCTTGCCTTATGGTTCTTGATGGTTTTGTTGTTGGCGGTGCTGTTGGGTGCACACGAGCGCGACCTCTTTTTTTTTCTAAGGAACTGTACAGTTGGCATTGGCTATGGGGGAAATTTTGAGCTTTTTTATTCAATAAAGTGAACTCTATAAATTTCAACCTAAGATAAATTTTGGCTTTTATTACTCAACTTCAAAAAGTATTTCTGCTGTTGGGATTATATTTATTATTATTTTTTTTCATATAAAACAAAGCCTGCGTACTGTAATAGTTGCTCTGCACGTGTTCGTTTTATCAACTTCGTACCGTACTCATTCAAATTTCATATCAGGAGGCCGCACTTTCAAATGGAGCTTGCTACTTTTTTCTTACTTTCGTGAGCTGCTTAGCTAGCCCATTTGCGAATACTGTACTTTTAAGCTATTCATTTGCATTTTACTTTACTTTTGCAATTTACTTTGTACTTTTCCGCCATTCTATTGATTGTGCAAAAAATGCTTTAATGTGCGTAAAACAAACTGTTCTGTAAATGCGTGGCCTATCATTGAGAATGAAAATTTCTGACCAAAACAGAGCACGGCCAGCGAAATAAAAACACCTGATGCGACGCCGGCAGCGGCTCTTCTCCACTCCCGCCCCTCTCCCTTCTGCTCCTCTCCGGCAGTGAAAAAAGTAAACAGAGCGTAATTTTTAAAAACGCCGCTCAGAGCCGTCGTTGGGGAAATGTCAAAGAGGAAGAACAAAAAGAATGGGAAATAAATGCGGCTGTGAACTCTGCAAGAGTCCGAAATGTACAAGATGTACTGATCTCGTTACACTCACACACGCACGCCAAACACACGGCGGTCGCTCTTTGTTGCTCTTGCTCCCCCGCTCCGGCGGCCCAGAATGCAACTCAGAAAAATCGATGAGCGCAAGAGGGTGGCAGGGAGGTTGTAGAGTTCAAAGAGCGCAATGGGGAGTGGAAATGGAAGAGGAGATTTGACATTTCAAGAGATTGACATTGGAGAAGGTGGGAAGATAGAGAGAGGGAGAGTGAGTGGGGTGGTTTTTGAGTAACGCTTGCTAATTAAATGTCCAGAGCGGGAGAGGGAGTGAATGAGGGAGCGGTAGAACTGCTAAGCGCTCTTTCTTTGAGCGCTGCTCTGTTTTCTTTTTCAGCATCTCGAAATCTCCTCAAAATCCTACTGCAGAATGTGCAGAGCGCGCAAAAAGTAAAAGCCGGTTGTCTGTCACTGTGTGTGTGCGGTGGAGAGTGCGGTGGGAGCGGGAGTGGACACACGTGTGCCTGAGCGCAGCACCGCAAGTTTCCGTTATTTCCATCTCCGTCCGATGTCTTCGTCTCCATTTGTTTTTGTTTAGCTAGGCGGACAGTCGAGCCTCTCGCCGTTTGTTTTCTTTTTTTTTTTTGGCTCCACTCCGCATACAAAATCACGCTCTGCCAAAAATGTGAGAAGGTTTGAAAACAAACGCCACTCTCTAGGATTATGTTTGGGCCTACAAAAGAGGCAAAAGAGGAAATCGGTTCTAAATCTCTTAACTTTCAAAGTTGTCATCTATTTTCTTATTAGATTCTTATTACGATACAAAGGGACAATTTGTATTGGTTAAATACATTTTTTTAAGTGTTCGTTAAAAACAGTGTTTTCAAAGACAGGTTTGATAAAAGTAAAGTTCCTTTAAATTTAATTTAACTATGTATAATGTTTTGTAATTGTCATTTTCATAATTGGTGAAAGTTAGATATTTTCGATTAAACAACAGACAATAAAAACTGTAATAATATTTAATATTTTGATTATTCCCATAATTGATAGAATAATTTATTATTCATTTTAGAATACACCATGCAAGCATCCAGTGGTGATGTTGGCCGGCGTGAATGCCAACGACCTGGAGGCGTTGCTGGAGTTCGTGTACCGCGGGGAGGTGAGCGTTGACCACGCCCAGCTGCCCTCGCTGCTGCAGGCCGCCCAGTGTCTCAACATCCAGGGACTGGCCCCGCAGACGGTGACCAAGGACGACTATATCACGCACTCGATCCAGCTCCAGCACATGATACCCCAGCACCATGACCAGGACCAACTTATTGCAACGATCGCCACGGCCCCACAGCAAACGGTGCACGCTCAGGTGGTGGAGGACATCCATCACCAGGGCCAGATCCTCCAGGCAACGACCCAGACCAACGCAGCAGGACAACAGCAGACCATTGTGACCACGGACGCGGCTAAACACGACCAGGCAGTGATTCAGGCATTCCTCCCGGCACGCAAGCGCAAACCGCGCGTCAAGAAAATGTCACGTAAGTTAAAAGAAATCGAATTCTCCTATTACATTTCAAACTAGTCGTTATATACTTTTGAATACATTATTATAATACAAATTGAAATTGAAATTGCAGCTACGGCACCGAAAATAAGCAAAGTTGAAGGAATGGACACGATCATGGGCACACCGACCTCGTCGCACGGTTCGGGATCCGTGCAGCAGGTGCTTGGCGAAAATGGAGCCGAAGGCCAGCTGCTGACATCCACACCGATCATCAAGAGCGAAGGACAAAAGGTGGAAACGATTGTGACTATGGACCCCAACAACATGATACCGGTAACGTCGGCCAATGCGGCAACTGGCGAGATAACGACGGCACAAGGAGCAACTGGATCATCCGGCAATACGAGCGGCGTGGCTTCCACGCCAAAGGCAAAACGTGCAAAGCATCCACCCGGATCAGATAGTGAGTTGTAGTAGCGATTAGTTCATTTGTCGGCATAAAGTGATTTTTATAGTTATATTTCTTGTAATCTAAAATACTATATATACACTTTATACGACCCAGTGAATATTTAAAAGTTCCTAGTACTAATCTTCAAACTTTTCCCCTTTTTAGAGCCTCGCTCGCGGTCGCAATCGGAACAACCTGCTACGTGCCCCATTTGCTATGCTGTCATTCGTCAATCGCGGAACCTGCGGCGCCATCTCGAGCTGCGCCATTTCGCCAAGCCAGGCGTGAAGAAGGAGAAGAAAAGTAAGTCCGGTAACGATACAACCCTAGACTCCAGCTTGGAGATGAACACCACGGCAGAGGGCGACACCACGGTGGGCAGTGAAGGACCAGTCGGAGTCAACGAATCAGCAGGAGGACAATCATCCGGTACGACGCCAACGAGAGTGATATCGAATGCACCGCAGGCCGCGGGGGCACCGGCCATCCTGGCCCAAAGTGTGCTGCCCCAGCAGCAGCAGCAGCAACAACAACTGCAGCAGCAGCAACACCAGCAACACCAGTTGACCGCGGCAACGTTAGCGGGTGGTGGCCAGGCATACATCAAACACGAGGGCGGCGGCGGGGGCGGTGCTGGGCAACAGCAGCAACAGGGCATGCAGAACGTCATACACATTGTGGGCGACCAGGTCTTCATGCCGCAGCAGCAACAGCCGCAGTCGCAGTAGCTGCCACCTGCCGAGCCTTCAATCATTCCAATGCACCAACAACCGACAAACACCATCATTCACATTTCCAAACACACACACTCGCATAACAACCACACACACACGAAAACGATTTGTAAATAACAACAACAATCAAACAAACAAATTCCCCGTGATCTGATCGAATGATTTGTGTTCATTTCCTGTATCATTTATAATTTTTCCATAATTAATTGCTGCGTAAGTTTTTAATTTGCTTAACTTTATTAAATTGCGCTTTCAACATATATAACATAAATTTCTTATGCAGTATTTTCTTGCATATTGTACTACAGAGAAAAGAAAACATGCGAGAATTCCCCAATTCTCCACTTAATGAATACTCGACTAATTACTTAAATAATCTAATTAGTGTCGCAAATAATTGTTGTAAAAATTAAATGTACAATTACAATCGAGGATCGCAATCGGTTTAAGTTTCTCTATTTTAAATATTATATTACAAATTGTTTAATTAATAAAATATTATATATTTTTTTATATAACAAAAAAAAAAAAAAAAAAAAATTAATCTCTGCCTGTGGCACGGACTTTAATTTATTGCAATTGGCTGTTATTATCGTTTCTCTTAGTTGCAAGAAAATACTGTTGGTCGATTTCCTAAACTACTAACTTCGAACTGATTTGAATTCAGTTCTCGATTCCCCTGCGAAAGAGTTGTTTGAAACTTAAATTAATTGGAACAAATCTTGCGGCTGTGGAAACCAGCTGATAATCGCATTTAAAAGTTTGGAATGTCTTCGAATTATTAAGTAGCTTTTAGTAACTTGTTTTTCTAATCTTTCTTTTCTTTATTTTTGTTAAACTTATATTTTATTTCTTTTAATCTTGATTTATTAACATTTTTGGTTTCCTAAAAAAAAGTATTTTGCTGTTACCAATTGTTTTGTCTTTTGTTATTGTCGTTGTTTGTTTTTCTTAACATATTTTCATCTACACAAACCATACCTTTTCACATTTCTTATCTGGCTGTAGTCCTAGAAGGTCGCGTTGTTTCTCTGTTGGGCCAGCGATGTTGCTGTAGTGTCGTCCTCTCGCTCTGTATTATCCTTACTATCCCCCTTTGTAATTTGGCCCACCGCAGCGGCAGTTTTCTCACCAGCCTCCTTCCTTCCTTGATTGCAGCAACCAGTGGCAAAAAGTCGAGTAGCGGATCGAGCGGTTCGGGATCGGGAGGCAGTGGAGCAATGAGCTCCAGCGGCGGTGTGCCCCAGGTGCAGACGGTGCAGTCCCTGCACACGTTGCAGGGTGTGCAGGTGAAGAAGGATCCCGATGCCCAGCAGCAGCAGCAGCAGCAACAACAGCAGCAGCAACAGCAACAGCAGCAGGCGATGACAGTGAGCGGAACGGCGGGCGGTCAAGTGCAACAGCAGCAGGTGCAGCAAGTGCAACAGCAGGTCCAGCAGCAACAGCAGCTGCAGCATCACCAAATCATTGATTCCTCGGGCAACATAACAACGGCAACGACGAGTGCTCAAGCCGCCGCTGCCGCTCAGCAACAGGCAGCCGGCCAACAACAACTAGTGGCTCAAACCGCCGATGGCAGCGAAGGTGGAACACCGCTTTCGATTGCCCAGGTGCAGACGCTGCAGGGCCATCAGATCATAGGCAATCTAAATCAGGTGAATATGACTGACTTCCAGCAACAACAACAACAGCAGCAACAGCAACAGCAGCAGCAGCAACAACAGCAACAGCAGCAGCAACAACAACAGCAGCAACAGCAAACACAACCACAACAGACGCTCTGATCGGACCGAAAACCTAGATCCACTATTCAATATAATTAATTAATTTGGGTTTTTGCTAAACGCTTTAAATATTCTCTTTGCGGAATGCGTAGATAAATTCTAAATTAATTTTTTTAAAAAGCCAGCTAGGCACCTTAGTTGTTTACAATTTTGTTGTACAATTTTTATGATTTTAAATGTTGATTTCCCCCCCCTATAATTTAGTTTTGTTGCTAAAGTTACTATTAAGTGCGCTATGGTTATTGGAAATTGTGTGGATATCTTTTATCTTATACGCAACTAATTGTGTAGTTAAACCAATGTCCCAATGCTGAAGGATTAAATTGAAATCCTTCATATCAGTGAAGGTCCCCTTGTTCATGGCCAGATTTTGGCCTTGAGCGATTGCACCTTCTTATTAAAGCAATCAATTTAATATTAATACATCTTAATAGCTTAAAAAATCCCTGAGCTATGGAGATATACTTAAGTAGCTCAAAAAGTGTTGATCTGATCAAATGAGAGCTCGCTCAAGTCGGTTTTTGAAAACCCAAATACTTGTCTGCCCACCAACAACCACTAATCAATCAATTTATCCTTGCGGTTTCCCTGCTTTCGATTTTGATTTAAGGACTATGCGCTCTAAGTTTTAATCGAACCAATTTTATATGTATATTTCTTAATTTTAATAGTTGGAAATTTTTCTTAATCTTTAGACCATATTGCTCTGTTTCACGTAGATGGATTATTTCTCCATAAAATTATGATTTAATTATGTAAATTTAAACGCACGGGGATAATCCGTTTACCTGAAGTGGTCAAATTATTGTTAGTCATTTTAAATACTTAAATAAAATTTAATTTTATTTAAACAAAAAAAAAAAGTAAAATAAACCAAAAACTTTTTAAATAAAATTATTTAATTTTCTTTTTTCTCGGTTGTATGCTAATTTGGTGAAGGTTTTATGATTTTGTATTCGTATGTTGAAATGTATTTACTAACCCAGCAAAAGTTTTTAATTTTGTAGCTTTAGTATTATATTATTTTTAAAATTTAAATTTATTTGTATATATTATTTTAGTATGTGCATGATTTCTTATTATTGTATCCCATTAGCTTTCCTTCCTGTACAGTTGACAAACAAAAACGGAATCTTCAAGAATTCAGTGACTGGATTTTAACAGAATTTCATTTTGAAAGCAATTACACCACTAAACCACCAAACCACTCTCACTGATATCCATTGAACCACTGCATTTTACACAGTTTTGTGGCACATAACCAGATCATTAACGAATCGTTTTTATCTTGTCTTCTTCTCTCTTTCTCGCTGCCACGTTAACTAAAAATTAAAACACCATCTAACCAACCGAACTCATTTGTGTGTTAAAACTAAAAACATAACTTCATTCCACAACGAATCAAAATCATATAAAAAATAATAGGGCAACAACAAGAACATTTTGGTAAAGAAGGTTTTCATTTTGAAAGGCGGTAATAATACGTAATGATGAGCCAACGATATGTCCAGCGGCCCTGGAGGAGGAGGAGGCGGGAACGGGCAGCAGCAGCAGCAGCAACCTAACAGCAGCAACTCGAGCAACAGCAGCAGCAACAACAACGGTGGCACGGCAGCAGCAGCAGCAACATTGAGCAGGAGCAACAGCAGGAGCAACACGCCAGCAATGTCAACATCATCGACGGCAACTGGAACGGGAGCCACATCCACGCTGCAGCGTCGCATTCTGCGCGGTCATGCGGCGCAGACGACCAGTGGCGAGCGTGTCCTGCTCATCAACTACGTGCCACAATCGGGATCGGGATCGGGGTCAACGGCCACCGCATCCACGCAGCAGAGCACGTCCGCCCAACTGCCCACCACCCGCAAGATTCTCCAGGCCAGAGCCACGGCAGCAGCAGCAGCAGCAGCATCAGCAGGAACAGCAACATCTGTAGGAGGAGTAGGATCAGGAGCAACAACCACCACCACTTCGCCACCATCCACGCCAGCTGTTTCGTTTGCCGGACTCGGCTCCGAGGTGACCGTCACCCTGACGCGCACAAATCAGCGCGCCAGCGTAACGAGTGTCACAGCCGCCGGTCATATTGTTAGGAATCAGCAAGCAACCACCTATCACCAGAGCACGAACACAGCCACCACAGCGTCGACCTCGAGCGGCGGCACATCGGCGCTCCATGAGCACATGGGCACTTCGACGTCGCCGCCACCACTGGTCTTCACCCACCATCCGCATCATCACCACAGCCAACAGCAGCAGCAGCAACACGAGTATCACCAACACGACCAACTGGTGGATCACCATCAGTTGGATCAAGAGCACATAATCATAGATCACCACCAGCAGACGGAGGACGATCAGCTGATCGAATACGACGATGGCGGGACGATCGAGGAGCAACAGCTGCAATTGCAGGACGACCTTCATGATCCCCAGCAGCAACAGCAGCAGCAACATCATGATGTTGTCCAAGAGGTGTATCTCCAGTAAAGGAGATCATTAGTTTAAGCCGTAGCGAAATAAGTTTTAGCCATTCTATATACAAAGTTGGGACGCCCAAAATGTGTGCAAAGCGGTAATCGAATTTGACAAGCTTTAATTTGGTGATTTTTTAAAAAAATTCAGCTTTATCTATAAGTTTTTCCTTCTTAAATTTTCCATATCGTAACCCCCACTTTAGCTACACATTTTGAGAAACACCAATTCAGATCGTGTACATATATACAACAAGGATTAATAACTTTAGAAACGAGTGTTTTTATAGAAAACCTTCTTTCAGCTTGTATATAGTTCTCTGACAAGTAGAAAAATATTTTCCATTGAAAGTATTACTCTTAAAATTTACAAATTGAAGTAAAAATTCAAAAACTAGTTATTAACAAAGATTATTTTTGTACTATACAAATACCGCTTCTTCATAAACGCTAGTTGAGAAATAACTGCACATATTAAATAACCCTTGACGATCTATTAGTTATTGTCAGTTAAGAATCAAAAGAAAAATCGTACGGAAACGTAATCAATTGTAAAAAATATCGACTTCAAATTAGAAAATCAAATTTCGCACATAATACGTATGTATGAATAAAATCCAGTCTGATTGTTCGAAAACTGTTGAAGCGGAAGGGCCCTTAGGATTACGAAAGGAATAGACCATCAAAAGTCTGTTCCGTAGCAAAAAAAACATATTCATGTAACCCAGTATTTGGGGCCAAGGCAATAAAGCGAGCCGGTTTGTGTACTGAAAGTAAAATTCAAGTGCTGTATTTATTTCTGGAAATTGGAAATATTTTTATAAATATTTTCCTGGTTCTATAATGAAAACCAAAAGGTTTTATTAATTTAATTGTTTATTGTTGGTTGCCTTTTTAACGGTTGCCTATACACAAAGTCGTCTTCTAATTTACAAAAAGCCATTTAACAACTATTCTTGTTTTATTATTTACAATTTCTTTCACTTTTTTACAAGTAGCAAACTAAAAATCTACAAAAATTACAGACTACTTTAGTTTTTTGTTTTCATATTTAATTTACAGGAAGTTTGTTACCAATTAAAATTTCCGATCAAGGATTGGTAAGCTTAAATTGGAGCGCTTGCAAAGTATTTGGATACACAATTTTTTAATTGAATTGCAATATCTACAATACAGGTTTTACATTAGCAATATAATCAGGCACTAGCTAGACAATGTTTTTTCTTCAATTGCAGCTACTTTAAATAAGTTGTTGTTGATTTTACTCTTTCCATTTAAGTATAAAATGTCTTAAAATGCATTTTGAAAAGATTATTGTTCCAAGTTATCATATAACACTTTTGGACCTGCATTATGTTGGTTTAATTTTCTTGTTTAATCATTTTGTTTAAGCATTTTTAACTTTATATTTGAATTTGAATTGTCTGATTAACTGGTTTGTTTAAAGTTTTTTGTTTAATTTGCAATCTATTAAATTTTAAGTACCAATTTTTGTTTTTGTTTTTCTTTGTAAATTTTCTAGTTGCAGCTGAAAAAATTTGTCTCAGAACACAGCTAATTATTTGATATTATCTGGCATTATTAACTATAATGTCTGTGTTTCAAACAATGTTTATGTTTAAGCCTTTCTATTTGGCACTTTTCATGAGGCGACTGCTGGCAAAGCATTCCCCAAAGAAGCGATCCAATGAATGATACAAATGAGGACGCACATTGGACAATCCATGATCCTCATCAGCGTAGCTCTAAAAAAGGTATTTTAATTCATTAAATGCATTATAATTTTAGGGCGAGGTAGGTACTTACAATCTGCTTGAAGAGAATATCCTGTCGCTCTAGATTTTTGGCCAGGATCATGGCCTGCTGGTAGTGCACATTATCATCCAGCGTTCCATGGACCAACAGATACTTCTTGCCACGCAGCTTTACGGCCATTGTGCTCAGTCTGGAATTGGCATAGCCCACCTCATTTGTGTTTGGAAGACCCATATAGCGCTCGGTGTAAATGGAATCTTTAATAGAAGATCTATTAGTTAAGTAATGAGATTGAAGGAAAGAATAACCCACCATAGTAAGCCCAATCTGTGACTGGAGCTATCGAGGCTGCGCATTTGAACACTTGGCTTTGATCGTTGGCCAGAGCCATGGCAGCTGCATAGCCTCCATATGACCAGCCCCAAATGCCAACGTGATCAGCATCGATGTAGTTGAACATTTTTGAGAGGGAGCTATATAAAAATAAATCATATAAATCGGTTAATAAGTTAATTTCAACAATCAATAATAAAACTTATTATTAAAAACTTACGCTGTAACATTGATCTGATCGCTGATCTCCACGGTTCCCAACTTTAGATAGATGGCGTGGAGAAGACTCTCGCCACGAAGTCCAGAGCCACGACCATCGATCTTGGCATAGATCACAGACTGATTTGAGGACAAATAGGTGCCCCAGTCAAGCATCCATTTGTTGGTTACCTTTGGAAGAACAATTATTATTATCCTTGATAACTAATTTGTTTAAGACTTAATAAAGCTCACTGAATAGGAATCTGGTCCACCGTAGACATCCACAAGCATGGGATACTTGGTGTCACCGCTGGTGTCCAAATTGGGGGGCAGCTGGAGCAGAACCTTCGCCTGGAAGCCACCGTCAATGTTCACCGTCAGGATTTTGTGGGTGGGTAGGGCCACGCCCTTCAGTTTGGCTCGCAGGCTTTCATTGGTTTCCCAGTCGAGGACATTCGAGATGACCACTTGAGCTAAAAATAAAAAAAATAAAGATTTAAACTATATTTAGAGATATGCCCAATTATCTAAAAACATTTTTATTGGAATTAGACAACATTTTTATAAAAGGTTTTAAATTCAATTTTTTTTTTTTTTTTTTTAAATAACAAATAAGTTTTATTTACGTCGATCAGCCAACCTAATGGCTATAATACGTAGAGCATAACAAAGAACAGATAACATGAAAACAATAACAGGAGATGTACAGTAACAATTACTGTTTCAGGACTCGGGAAACCATGCGTCCTCTTGTCCAGAGGTCGCCGGGGTGTCTCCGTTTCAGTCTTCTTCGGATAGCTTGATTACGTAGAGACGCTGCTAGGTGGTTTGGGTGCGCTATGAGGCGATCGCTGTAACGACTCGAGTGTCGGTTGATCTGCTCTCTAATGGAGGGAATGTGGAGATCATTTGCTAGGGCGTCGTTTCGAACGTACCAAGGCGCGTTTGCCATCATGCGTAGCGCTCGGTTTTGGGTTCTCTGCACTTTCATGACGTTACTGTCAGAAGCCATGCCCCATATCTGAATGCAATATGTAATCGAGGGCATCACGATCGATTTATACAGCAACACTTTGTTGCCAAGGCTGAGCTTGCTCGTTGGCTTAAGCAACCAGTTCAACTTCCTGAGTTTACTCCGACATGTAGCTGTTATTTTCTTGGTGTGTTCTTTCCAGGTGAGCCGCTTATCTAGGATCAGTCCCAGATACTGCGCCTGGGGTGACTGTGGGATGGTGACGTCGTGGAGTTCGACTCTGGGTAGGACCTTTTCTCTCAAAGTAAAGTTGCAATGTTGCGACTTCCTGCCATTTATGGCAATATTCCACCTGTTAGCCCACTTGCCATACGAGTCCAGAAATTCCTGGGTGATCCTTGATGCCTCGATTCGGCAGGAAGAGTTCACAAGAAAGGCAGTATCGTCAGCATATGTGGCCAAAAGTGTGCCCGGTTCAACAGAACTTGGCAGGTCTGATGTGAACAGGGTGTAGAGAACGGGACCCAGAACGCTTCCCTGCGGAACTCCAGCACGAGCAAATCTAATGCTTGACCTTTCCCCTCTCACCTCGACCATAAAACTTCGATCAAGCAGGTATGATTTCAGTAGAAGGAATTGGCCAGTCGGAAGTATTAAATTCAATTAAATTTTTTTCTTACATTTTTTGGAATTTTTTCTTAACCCTTTTTTATAATAATTAAATTTTCTTTTATTAGCACGGTCGTTTAGTAAGTTATAAAGAATCTGTTTCAGCAAAATATTAATTATATTTCCCCTGCTTTAAACAATATAATTTAATTTGAAGTTTTAATTTACAAAATATACATGATTTTTTCTTGCTATTTCTTTGTTCAATTTTTAATAAAGTAAAGGCAAAACTTACAGTTTTCGTACTTCCACTCGTAGATGTGGGTGGTTGGAATGCCGGGGCCCAGCGAGGTGATCACAATGTGGTTATTGTCGTTGAAGGTGGCCGAGAAGTAGGTCTGCTGCACATCGCCGGACTTGATCAGGTTGCAGGTGAGGCACTTGGGACTCTGCTTGGCCAGCGCCCGGATGGCGTACAGGTGCAGCTGCTCCGGATGATCCTCCGAGTTGGCCGTGTAGAAGATGATGTCATTGGTGCCGTCCCAGTGCAGGATGCTGTCCACCACGTACTTGCCCTCGGTGAGGGGCTCCAGTGTCTGCGGCTCGGCACTGGCCACCGTGGAGCTGAGCAGCTGGACGTGCTTGTAGTTGTTGTTCGGCAGGACGAAGGCCAATCGAGATCCGTTCCGGTTGCGGAAGGGAGCGGTATAGAGGTCCACCCAACCAGTCTTCGATTCAGCGCTGTAGATCTGTGTAAGTTTTGGGAATATTTAATTATATTCTTTGATTTAAAATATGTAATTTTTATATTTATAAAAGTATTCTATTTATGCACAAATAAAAAATAATTTAATAAATGTAATTATTCAAAAGAAATCAATCACTACTCATGGGTGATTGTGAATGAAACTAATTAAGAACGTTAATTTAAATAAATGGATTTTTAATTTGTTCTGATGTTAAGCTAGTAATTCGGTTTTGTTTATCTTATAAAATCCAATTTTGTAATGGTTAAAAGTGACTTACCACCTTCCTGTTAAGACCGTCGAAGGTAACGACATATGCGGCATTCTGGATGCGGTTCATCCAGATGGACAGGACATTGGCGTCGTCTACCCAACTGACCACGGTGACAATGTAGTCCGTTTCCGTGTTGAGAGCAGGTGGCACCGGCATCACGGTCTCGAAATCTCCACCAGCCACGGCTCTCTTCAGATCAACCATCACCAGTTCCACTCGTGGATTGGAGGATCCTGCCTTGGGATAGGCGATCACCTGGTGCAATGGATATTGATACCGCAGATCTCCGGCATCTCCGTAGTAGGGGAAGTTGATCAGGTGCGTGGAGGAGTCATCGAATTTGATGTACGCCAGCTGGGTGCCCGAGGGATTGAACCACGTGGCCACGTTGGAGCTGAAGACCTCCTCCTCGTAAACCCAATCGGGAATGCCATTGAGTATTCCCGCCTGGTCATCGCTGGTGATCGCGATCTCCGGTTCCGAAGCACTCTCCTTGTAGTAGAGGTTCCTATCGTAGTTGATCACCAGGGCATTTCCCACCGGCGACCATTGAACCATGCTCAGATACTGCTGCACATTCTGGATGGTCAGCGGAGTGGAGTTCTTCGTGTTCAGGTTGTAGAGATCGTACTCAGCGAGGAAGCTGTACCGGAAGTTCTTCTTGTAGTTCTTCGCCAGCAGAAGATACTGTCCATCGGCCGACTTTTCGTACAGCACATAGTGGGCGGCGTTTTCCAGGAGGACGGTTTTAGCTCCTGTCTTGGCATCGAACTCCACGATGGACTGGAGAAAAGGGATTATAGATCATAGATTAGTTGCAGAAAAAAAATTAGAAAAATTTGTTAAAGTTACAGTTTAATCCGAGGATTCTAAAAATCAACGTATTCATGTTAAGAAAAAGCTCAATACAAAAATTTAGGAAACAAAATTTGTAGTTTATTTTAAGTTTATTTAAAACGGATGGTTAATCATTCATTTTCAAAACACCCTAATAAGTGCATTAAGATAATTTTTGTTAGTAATTATTCGAACATTTTTTTAAAATTTGGGTAATATAATATAAAACTTTAACTTACCGCACCCTCCTTGTAAATCAAACTGTTTTCATTGCTCCAACTGCCATTGAACCGCTTGGCATACAGTTGGCCACTCAGCACATCCTCGAGATCTATGGCATTATTGGAATTGGAGTCTGAGTCGTCAGAATTATCCTTTTCATCAGTTTTGAGTATGAACACCAGAGCTGTGGCCAACAGAGCTACCGCTATGACCGCTGTCGCAATGCTCAGGATTATCCTGACCCGTCGCTTCTTTTCCTTGGTGTGCATCAGGTTCTAATTATGAGAAACAAAAATACTTTGCATTAGTAATACAATAAAAATGGTAATTTCCTTTTAAATGTTATGCTTTTTTCTCAGCATAGTAATTTTGTACACACAACTAAGTCTTGGTATCGTGTTTTCCCACAAATTTGCATTGGTAACCATCAGCTAATGAATAACGAAGTTTACCACAACAAACTTGGAAATAAATTAATTAAAGTGTAACATTATTATGGGAGTGTACTTTCGAAATTGCAATCAGCGAGTTCGTTAGCCTTTTTTCCATGCAGTGAAAATGGCTTTCGTTTCGATTGGCCTACGTTTTCCCATTTTCCGTTCACATTTCAGCAATCAGCCACCTTCTGGGCTGACCAAAAAGTGCAACTTGACCAAATCAAATTATAAGGCTCGAACGAAATGCGCGCTCTGGCCAATTTGTGTACAATCTTGCTGCCTAATCAGCGAACCCAGCCACGTTTATACCTATATGTATTATATGGAAAGCAACGTTGCGCATGCGCAATGACTCTTTCTTTCCCATTCGCCATTCACTCAACGCATTTCACTCAAATCGCCGAAAGCAAAACAAAATGCATAAGATATGGAAGGCAAGATTGGGGATAAGGTTTCATAGGGAGAGGGACGGCATCCAAATGAGTCCAAAAAGGTGGAGAGCGAAAATGAAAGTAGTTTTTTGTTAACCAGCTCTAGACTGGGTCGCCGATAACTGGTTTATGATCTGGTCAGTATAGTGTTTATATACAGGTAAAATGTTTTGTGAAAAGGGGGAAAGTGGGGAGCCAGAGGCTCCGGCAATTGCCGCATGACGTAAGGAAATAAAATCAGAAATAGCTTTTTTCGTATTGAGTGGATTTTTTTTTTATGGGCCTGTCTGGGGCTTTTGCCAAGTTTGTTGGTTTCTTTTACATAATTTTACATTACGCGACTAAATAATTGCAGTTGTCCACGCCCCAAAACGACAAAGAAATACGGAGATTTGCTTGTTGTTTTCTGCTTTTTTATTTAACTCTGCTTCGATGTGATAATTGCGCTGTTGAAATCTATCATTAAACGAAATGCTTCTGCTGTTTGTTTACTTCTTTTTTTTGTCGATTCATGCCAATGGCTTTTTGGCAGAGCGTGACAGTTTTTTGTGATCATTTAATAGGATTTATGTGTTTCTGCTCAAGGTTATCGGGTTCCATAAATACTTGAAATACTTTAATAAAGCAAAAAGGGTGGCAATTTTAAATGAACAATAAAAACCTAATTCGGCAACCTTCCCTAAAATATTATAGTTTAATAATTTCTAATGCTGTATAATATTAAAAGAAATTAAACAACAAAATTATAAATACTTATTAACATATAAAGGAACAAAGATAATTCTCCTAATTCTCTCAAACAACACTGACTATTTTAAAAAAGTTGAAAGGGGTTGTAGTATATACAAGTTTTGAATTTTGTTGACCTGCAAGTTAAAGCCAACCACAACAATATAAAAATAACATTATAGGCGTCGTTCAAGAATTCTAGAAAAACCAGTTACTATAAACCCAGCTGGACTGCATCGACTTTTGGCATTAGCACGTCTAGAAACAGAGTGCATACATTTAATACCTGCACTTTATCGAAGCTTTACAAACATCCAAGGGCAAAAAAAGCAAAGTCGAAGAAAAGAGACAAAGTCGCACTTTCCTTCGTTATTTTTTTTTTCGAAAATCCAACGACACGTGTAAGGATTCCCCACTGACCACGTAGCCACTCCCCAAATCTCTTGGATAATATATAGCCCTACGGAGGCACAACTGGCAACGTCGAAGACATGTTAGTTACAACTTTGCAGCATTTTATATACGTATGTATCGCCATGGCATATGTACACACAATTTATGGTTCCTCTTGGATTTCATTGCGATGGGGATTTGCGTTTGTGCGAAGAAAGGAAACCGAGTTGTACTCAAATTAAAAAGGTTTTCGCTCTCCCAGCTCTTTAATTAGTTTTATTATTTGTCAAGGCATAACCACTGTTTTCGAAACTGTGGAAAAAATATTTAATAAAATATAAACTATATTTTTTAAAATAATAAAATCATGTCTTTGTGAAGAAAGAATTATTGTAGGAGGAAAAATGTTTATAAAGTATTTATTTTTGTTGGGTTTGTAAGTTTTTGAGTTAGTGTTTCTTAAAGTAAAACTTTAACAATTTAAATACATAATTAAATTACGCTTACATAAAAATAATATATTAGTCACATATATAAAACATCTAATCCTTTTCTCACAGTTTCCCTCAATTTCAGCAATTTTATTGACTGGGCCAACACTCCGCCAACTCCAATCACACATATCAATGTCCATTCAGACTCTTTTTTTGTTTGATTGTTTTGGGATTTCATATTGAATTCGCAGCACAATATAGCGCAATTAGTCTGCTACCTGTAGTACTCCCCTTTCCCCTTCTTTCCAGACCTCTATTCATTTAATAAATATGAAACTGAAAAGGTTTTTAAGAGCACTATATTCTCTGTGAAGCGGAGGAATCGTTTGCTGGACTTCCGGCAATTAGTTGGAGTTTTTACCAGACAAGCTGTATAGGATATTTCATCCGTGTTGCACCACATGTCGTATACTTGTTCAGCTTCGCTTTTTGCTTATCCCCTTATTTGCCTTGTTGCTGTTAGGACATAATCGCTTGGACGTGAGGGGCTTGTCAACTATTTAAGGACTACTACCCAGACCCCTAGACAGGACAACAAAAAATTGATGACCTCTTTTCCGGTCTGCGGGTTGAATTTTTTCCTTTGCCGTTTGGTTTTTCATTAAACGGGCCCGAAATTAATTAATTAAACAGGTTTTTCCTGGGTGTGTTCTCTCCTTGGGGGTTCTCCTATTTTTTACTCTGCTTATTTGGCACACACTTTAACGTGTTTTACAAATGAGCTACATAAGTTACGTGTGCTTTGGGGATAAACATACATAATTAGTAAGAGTTTAGTGACAGTCGAGTGTGAGTTGATTAAGGTGTGGAAAATACGAAATACAGAAATTCCATAAATAAGAACAAAAATGGTATATTTAAATGTATTTTAATTATGATAATACTTTTGTAAATAATAAAACACTAGAAATATTTATCAATATCCACTTCTTAATTCTATTTATTTAAATAACCTTTCTACTATCAAAATCAAATCTTTTTGTTTATTTGACGTAACTTAAAAGTGCATTATTTTAATTAAATTCCATGCTTTCGTCTCGTGCCTTTGCACATTGTGGTTGATGCCCTCAATCAGCTCCTGCTTTTCATCGGCCACCTGTTGATCGAAAACCACAGAGAGATAAAGAGACAGACTCCCACTAAGCCACAGAGCCACAGAGCTCCCACATTTTCGATTGATATATTAGCTGTTCATGTGTCCATTCATCTTGTGTTTAGCAGAATGGCCATTGTGGTCAATCAGCGGCTCATTTTCGCACCCACGGACAAATCAATTTAATTACTGTGCACCCAAGGCAAACGAACATATGGCCAAATGGAAACCAATTGGCAGGCTGTTTGTGTCCTTTTAGTGATGTCAGTTTGGACTTATATTAATGTTGTATGATTTATGTGCTTTTAACTGTTATGAAAACGCATAAAATTATTCCAAATTTTTGCAAAAAAAACAATCTCCAACTGGTAACTAGTTCTTGACTTTACTTAATTTAACAACTTCTATGTTTAAAACGTATTTTTATGTTATAAAAAGTTAACACTTAATATAAAAAAATAAAATTTTTATTTGGTATACGAGTGCTTTTTAAACTCTGAATTTTTATGGCTTAGCTTACCACTCCATACCATAATTTGCTTTATTATTATTAATACTACCTACTTTTATATAATATAAATTTATTCACGACTCTTATGATCCTTAAGATTTAAGTTAAAAAAAACAGTTTCTTATTTTCCTGTATTACCTACCGACCTTTAGTTCATCTGCTTTCCAGCAGACAATATTGACCATATTTTTATTCAGCTTAATTCCAATTAAGAACAATGGGGGGCAACCGTTTTAGCCCCTGTCAACCTGGTCACCACTGGTGGTGCACCGTCTTACCTTGAACCGCGACATGCCCTCCCCGAAGCTGCCGGCACTGGTCATGTCGTCGTCCTCCAGACTGCTCCCACCGCCCAGCATGGACTCGTGCAGCTTGGCGCTCGTCCTTCGCCCCACCGCCGCCTTGTAGTAGTACGGTGGATGCTGGTGCCGGCCCACGCCCACACCCACGCCCATGCCACCCAGACCGACGGCCACGCCTCCGCCACCGCCCACATTGGCGGCGGTATTGCTGGCGGTGGCGGTTGCAATGACGGAATCCTCGTAGCCCATCAGCTCAATCGATGGGTGTTCGCATTTGCAGCGGTGCGGCGGTGTGCGATGCCCATGCTGGTGGTGCGGATGCGGATGTGGGTGGATGTGGGAGTGCAGCGAGTGCGGATGTTGCTGCTGTAGCTGTTGTTGTTGCTGTTGATGCTGCTGCTGCCTGCTTTTGTTGCCATTGTGGTGGCTGTGACTGTTGCTGCCGCCGTGCTGGGGCGGCTGAGGTGGCGGCGGTATGTCTGCGGGTGTTATATAGATTTTGCCACCACCCAGACTCTCGCCGCCCGTCTGCTTGCTCGGCCAGTGGTACTCATCAAATTCGCTCGAGCTGTTTGTCAGTTGGTGTTGCAGCTGCTGATGTTGCTGCTGCTGTTGCTGCTGATGTTGCTGTTGCTGTTCCCACTGCAATTGTCTTTGCTGCTGTCGCAGGCAGCTCTGTTGTTGCTGCTGTAGTTGCTGCTGCTGTTGCTGTTGTTGCTGTTGCTGCTGCTGGTGTTGCTTGTGGTAGCGATAATATTGATGATGTGCAGCTGCATTGGCAGTGGCTGGCAGGCGATACTTGTTGTTGTTTTTTGTTTTTTTTTTTCGGCGGGGAGAAAAGGAACACATATAAAATTGGTTTGTGGACAGCATCCTGGTAAATCG